GCAAGAAACAGCATGTAGAACATAGCATATGTCATTCATAAATAAAGGTTATTGTCTGAACACTTACAACATATCTGCCTGGGAACTTTAACCAACTACAACTTTCAAGTATTCAGCGGCCATGCTGGTTGCAGATTCTGGGACTTGTGGTTCCACAAAACCTTCCCAAGATTAGAAAGAATATTTTTTAAACAATGACTAATTTGGAAAGGAAACATTTACAACTTCACTTTCACTTATGTACACAGATAAGTGTAGGGAAGCAGGAGGTCTTAACAGATCTGAAATAGTACATGTTCCCACCATCTAATTAAGCAGAGCCCCCTTTGATATCCTTCTCTCCTTGAGTGTCCTTGCACTCATCCTAGATTTTGAATAATCCTCTCTTTCCAGCCATGACTACTGCAATAATTAGGTTGAAAAAGAAATGCAGGCCCAGCGTGTGGCTGCAAACAAACTCCTTGACAAATCCCAGCAGTCCCCTGGTGCTGATGATTCCAGAGGATGGAGATGATTTGAATACTTATAAGGTCATGCACAGGTTTCCTGGTGGGAATCTCATTTGCTTTTCCTAACATTAGTAATGAGGAGTTATTAAAATGTTAGCTTCTCTCTCTAGTTCACTTTGCACCTTAATGTTTCAGAGCATATGATGCAGCAAGTGTATCTTGATCCTCTGTTATACCCTGGTGTGCATGTCATACTTACTTAAAAGACTAATTGCATAAGACATGGGCAATTTATCATTTGATATCTTGATGTTTTCATTTTATTCTAGGGCGCCTGAATTGGATCGGTTTTTTGGCCAGTGATTTTAGCCTAGAAGGAAAAGATAAAAATTTATCTGATTCAATTTGTTCTCCAAGAGCTTTTCCTCCACTTAGAGAAACTTCAGAGTTGACCATCTTCAAGTTGACTCTTGATTTATAGTGATCCTGTCCTATGATTTATTTAGATAAGGCTTGCCATTCCTATCCTCTAAAGGGAAAAAATGTGACTTACTCAAGGTCACTTGGGGGTTTCCATGAGTGAGTAAGGATTCAAACCCTAGTCCTCCTGAGTCTTAGTTTAGCATAAAGCTTTAGTCCAGCATTATACTCTGTCATTTAACCCAGTGGTTCCCAACCTTTTTTTGACCAGGGACCACTTGGCTAGGGACTACTTGACCAGGGACCACTCTCCAACATTAGTACCAAAAGGGTTACAGAGCTGTTTTTCATCAACTTTATATTTGGTTTGGTTATTTGGGGTGCTGATTCAGAAATTTACACTGGATAGACCACATCAATTCTAGTTTCTGATACAGAACATATGCCATGGTTAGCGACAGGGAAGGAGTGGCAGATGGCGTGAAAGGAGCGGAAATAAAATAAAATAAAGAGGGATGCGGGAGCAAGCTTATTTTCTGCTTCCCTGGAGACTAGGACATGGAACAATGGCTTCAAACTGCAAGAAAGGAGATTCCATCTGAACATTAGGAAGAACTTCCTGATTGTGAGAGCTGTTCAGCAGTGGAACTCTCTGCCCCAGAGCGTAGTGGAGGCTTCTTCTTTGGAGGGTTTTAAACAGAGGCTGGATGGCCATCTGTCAGGGGTGCTTTGAATGCAATATTCCTGCTTCTTGGCAGGGGGTTGAACTGGATGGCCCATGAGGTCTCTTCCAACTCTAGGATTCTATGATTCTAGGAAGGAGGTTAACTGACCAGATTTTCGTCCTCGCGTCCCACTGGTGATCCGTGGCTCACAGGTTAAGAACCACTGATTTAAACTAAGGAAATGATGATGGAAAGCAAGACATAAGTCCCACCCAGCACTGCATTTCTAATACAACTTCCTTTCTTCCATGGCTTCTTTGAAGGAAAACAGAGTGCTTAATTATTTTAGTCATTTGTATTCATTCATGCATTAGGGTTTCACAGGAGTTTGCTTCTATTTAATATGTGCCTCATTACAAATTTAACTTATGGGATCACCAATGTACTGTGTGATCTTTCACTGTACCTCAGCAAGGCAAATAACATTGGGTATTGTTGAATGATGCATTCAGGGTCATAATGCATCATGATTTCTATATATGTTGTGATCATACACAAAACTATCATGTTGTATATGTAGTGTCTAATTTTACCATGTGAATTGTGTGTAAAAGAAGCGGAGTGGGCTCTTTCAGGTTTTATGCTTGCATATTACTTTTCTCTATGTCCCATGTGCTCAAGTGGTGCACAAATAGATTTCTTAATATTGCTGTACAAAAAGGTTAGAAAACAGTGTATGCTGTGAATTTACGTGATGGAGTCATCATCGACCAAGCTTATTTGGGCTCACTCTCCAAAAGGCCAATAGCAGTATATGAAAGTATGATTTAGCTAAATGGAGCATGTAGTGTTGTTGTTTGTGTTAGCTTCTATGGGTGCGTGTCCTGTTGTCTCTGCTTCAAGCAGAGATGGGTAGGTTTGTTACGTAGCACCTTTAAAATTAGCAAAATGTCTTGGACCAGCACTGGATATAGCAAGGAACAATAAATGGTCAAAGGTCATCAATGCAGACCTTCAAAAGAGAAATGTTCTCTTCCATTGCCTTTCCTTACAGTTCTGCTAAATATTATCATGGTGATGTGGAGAATTCTTATCAATAGCAACAGACAGTGGGACCTCTGGATCCATTTTATCCAGATCCATGATTTTCAGGATCATTGCATCCTATATTAGTTAATGCAGTGATGTGAACTGAAGTGGTTATGTTCATGTCACCACCATATAATAATATGTGATTTCACAGTGGGGCTTGGAACCAAACCACTTCAGATACGACTAGCCCATTGTACACACTGTTTAGGAAAAGTACTACAGATCCATGAAGGTTCAAAATATGTGCATTTGGTTGTATCCAAATGCCCCCACCATGGATACCTGAAAACATGAATCTATCGTGAAGTTTTTCTTTTCATTATATTTGGGCTGGAAGCTGTGGGAAGCATTTTAAAATTGTTAGCCAAATGAAAAGAAGGACAATCAATGAAAGTTTTTTTAAAAAATTGTTATTGGGAATGAATGCCTCCTTTCTTTGATAGAAGTCTGACCATTCATCTTTCATTTGTTGCATTATCCAATGAGCTCAGGATGGGATGTATTAGGTTATCTCATTTGGTGCCTATTGATCAACTCACATTTGCATGTTTCCAAACTGCTAAGTTGGCAGAAGCTGGGGCTAACAAGGAGAGCTCACCCCACTCCCTGGATTCGAACTGCTGACCTTTCGGTCCACAATTTCAGCAGCTCAGCGGTTTAACCCACTGCACCACTTGGGGCTCCATGTTCAATATTACAGTACACTAAATATCCAATTTTGTTTACATCACTCACGAGGCAACCAGAGGAATTGAAACAAATTTATTCTTAATAAAAGAACACTAAAATACTAAAATGCAACATGGCTATCTCACTCTATGGCTTTTATGGGCTAAATAGTAAGTTGTTACATTTGAAAGATTCTACCCCAAGGGAAATCTAAGAAATAGATTTAAATGAATGAATAAAATAAGTACAGAGTACAGAGTAATATGTATGAAAGAGTTGAAATTCAGCTTTTACGGTTTCTTGATGGCAGCAAACTTTTTTGCCAAGATAAATTTATTTCTTGCAAAAGATTGATATTATCTTTGGACGAATGGTTGTAGCAAGCAGTCAGCCAATCTCTCTCCTTGTGTGTGAAAGAAGGGGGAAAATCACAATCAAAAGAAAACTCTAGGAGGAGATCTGTAAATCAGAGCAGCTGTATTTCGATCAGTTTAGTTCTATTTGCATTGGCCAACTTTCTAAGTATCAGTAGACTTGATATTTCAAATTAACTCCTAGAAACACTCTTTCTTTTGCCTTCCCAATTTCATACCTCATTGCCCCAACAGGCTCTCTTGTAACAATACAGAACTATTGGTTCGTGCTGCTTTAACTATCTGTTGATTGTTGTTATCATAATAGTTTATATATTTGCTGAGCCAATGCTTGACTGTTGAGAGTATGTGTAGACTCGAAGAGGCTATAGTTTTGCGTAGTGACCCTCTGCTATTCCTTCATGGAATGAACTAACCAGTAAATGAATCATCTAACCCAGTGGTTCCCAACCTTTTTTTTTTTTTTACCAGGGACCACTTGATTAGGCACCACTCTCCAACATTAGTATCAAAAGGGTTACAAATCATTTTTGGTCAACTTTTGATTTGATTTGGTTATTCGGGATGCTGATTCAGAAAATTGCATTGGATAGACCACATCAGCTCTTGTTTCTGATACAGAACATATACCATCAAGTAGTTGCCATCTACTCACCCACAGAAAACCATATTTAATAAGCCTCAGCACTATAAGAGGGTTTTGCAAGACCAGTCGCTCTCATTGCAATGGTGTAGTAACAGTGAGGTCGCGGATGATATTTTAGTTCTTGCAGACCACTGATGGTCCACAGTTCCGAGGTTGGGAACCACTAACCTAACCAGTTGTATTACTTAATTGGATTCAAATCGTGCTAAGCAAAATAGCTAGTTAGATCATGACTACTAATACATATGTCAAAAAGAATGAAGGCTAGAGGAAAGAATGCGCTGTACAGAAAGAGATGTTACTTGTACTTTTCTTCAGACTCTGATTCTACCCCAAATTGCTTCTGACTCTGACTCCACAACCCTGCTTATCTGTCTCTTAAAGAATTGTTGCTGTTGTTGAGAGCCACAAAAGGCAATATCCATCAGGTGCAGATCTACTACAGCTGCATCTCTATGCTGGGAAACTCTCTTTGCTTCTGATGGAACACAGCCTTTATCAGGGAAACAATAAACTGGCAGAGAAGGACCTGTTAGGAATAGCTATTGTCATAAAGATGGCTTTTGTTTCTAAATCCTCCTTGACAGATTTTAATACAGGTTGTTTGTAGCAATGGTGCTAGATGTCATTCACCAGCAAAATGTGTCTATGTTGAAATAAGCACTGGAAATGTTTGAATTTGCAGAATCGATGACTGCTTCTGTGCTTCTCGCAAACTGGACGCAGTGGCTACAGAAGCAAAGTTCAAGCAGGATCTGGGTTTCCGAATGCTGACCTGCGGCCGTACCGATCTGGTCAAACAGGCTATCTCTTTACTGGGCCCTGATGGAATTAACAGCATGAGTGAACAGGTACACAAATCCAAAACTTGTTATAAATTTAAAATGTGCCAATTGGAAATTATCATTTAACAACTACAACAAAATAAAGAGCACCTCACTGCTATCAAGTTTTTATTTGATTAATGTTTCTGCTATTAGTCACTTTGAACTGCTGGACCTCTCACACACACATACTTATACATATATACACACACATTTATATATAATTCCAGCTCTTCTCAGCCAGATGTTTTGGACTACAGCTACCATCCGTCCCAGTGGCCAGTAAATGAAAGATGGGAGCTATAGTTCAGAAAATATGTGGTTGCCAGATTGTAGAAGCTAGAGTACTTTGGAGGTAAGAGCTTAATTCCCTCTCAATTTGGAGAGAAATCAAGAGCTTCCACTTCACCATAATCACGTATTATTTTCATTCTGTTTCTGCATACCCCACACTGGGACACCTTTAATCACACACTATCAAAGTTAGTAATGAGGAAGAGTGGGAAACCTAAGAGAGGCTGTAGCAGTTCACTTTTGTTCAAGCCATCTGGGAAGATTCCCACTTCCTTCTCTGTCTTCCCTGCTGAATACAAACTACCTATGAAGTTTGGCTTCAATATACTGCTATTGAAGTAAGCTTGAGGACAAAGCAGGGAAGTGGGAGAAAGAAAGAGAAAATGGGACATTTTACAGATGGCTGAAAAAAGTGGGGTGACCAAAAATTAATTGAAATTCCTCCTGCCAAATTAGGACAGTTAGGTTGGATCTACAACACGCTATATCCCAGGATCTGATCCTAGACTATCTGCTTTGAACAGGATTATATGAGTCTACACTGCTAAATTATCTGATAAGTAAATAATCTGGAATCCGATCCTGGGATATAGGATAGCATAGATCCAATCTTAGAAGGTATGCCTATGGCAGCTTTCGAATGAATGAGATTGCTTTTTCCCTCCTCCCTCTTATAGCCATGACTCTTGTGCTGTAAGTGTACTTAACCATCCTTTCCTGACTGCATCTGTGACTAATACCATTGTCAAAGTAACGCTAATCACAAGGGATCTGTTGATCAGTTGCAGTGGGTATTTCAGATTAATATAAATTTGCAGCCGGGAGACTTTGTAGCGAAGGGTCAGCTAATCTAGTTTTCCTTCAAACAGGGTAGCATTTCCCTAGAGCTAGCAACTCTCAACATTGCTGTCTGGCATTTCATTTAAAATTAAATCACTATGTACCATGAACGAACACATAAATGTGCCAACTTCTCCAAATGTTACCAGTATTGGCAATGAGTCTAAAAGTGCCTGAACCTAACCTGTCAAGAAGAAGCTCATTAAAATGCTAGAGGAACATTTTCACTTAATAAAGAACAGTATTCAGATCTTGGGTTGTAGTCCCCCCCCCCCCCAAGAAAGTAATAATAGCATAAATCTGTGGGAATTAAACTCATCTAGGGGAACAAAGGGCAACTTTCATTTTAAAAAATCTTAACAAAGGTTTTTGTAAGATGATCTTAAAACATAAAGAGTTTGCCCTCCACGTTTGCAAGTTTAACTTTTGCAGATTTGACTATTCACAAATTTGAAGAATATCTCTAGGAATAATTCAATCTTCCAGTGCAGTTCTATGATAAACTTCCATTAAAGTTGACCATACGGTTGCATTAAAGCAGTGGTTCCCAACCTTTTTTTTTTTAAGCCAGGGACCACTTTACCATGGACCACTTTGACTAGGAACCATTTGACCTGGGACCACTGTCCAACATTAATACCAAAAGGGTTGTAAATCAGTTTTTGGTCAACTTTAGATTTTGTTGATTCTTTGGGGTGCTGATTTAGAAAATTGCATTGGACAGACCACATCAGCTCTAGTTTCTGATACAAAACATGCTCTATCCGGTAGTCATCATCTATTCGCCCACAGAAAAACATATTTAATAATCTACAGCTGATGTGGTCTATCCAAGGGAGCAGGGCTGGTCAGCGAGAGGGAAGGAGTGGCAGGCAGTGCAAAAGGAGCCAAATTAAATTAAATTAAGATGAAGGAGGCTCGCAGACCACATTTTGGTCCTCACAGCCCACTGGTGGTCCGCAGCCCACAGGTTAAGAACTATTGCATTGAAGGAACTAAAGAGATGTTCTCTCAAATAAAAATAAGTGGTATCTTTGGAGGTTTCCCACTTTCATAGAATCATAGAATCAAAGAGTTGGAAGAGACCTCATGGGCCATCCAGTCCAACCCCCTGCCAAGAAGCAGGAATATTGCTTTTATGAGAGTTCTTTATTCCTAGCCCCAGCAAATGTGGAGAGCTTCTTTTATCCGCATGTGTTTTGATAAAGATAATATCCTTGTCTAACTGTTTGTTTGGCCTAAAGATCTAGTTTCAATAGTAGAAGACATAGGTGCACACTCTTCCACCCACACAGTTCCCCACTGTGGTGTAATGGGATTATTTGATATGGACTTATGCATGTATGGTTTGATTTATTTGCTTTGTGGATTTTCCTTATATCATTCTACCAATTTGGTGCTGTCCTTTTGAAATTCATTTATTATATTTTAAATCCTTTTAAACTTTGATCAATTTAATGCTCTTTGATTTTACGTTTAGCTATGTTTGTTTTTAATCTGCATTATAAGCTATTCTGGGCTTGGCACTGGAGAAAGGCAGAATGTGTATGTGTGTATATGTGTGTGTGTGTGTGTGTGTGTGTGTGTGTGTGTATATATATATATATATATAAACTATATTTTTTTTTAATAACCTTGTGTTATAAGTCACAGATCCCATGTCACTTGGGAAGTTCTGGGAATTATATTCCAAAAAAAGTAACATTTTCAAGCTGTCATCCAAAATATGTTTATTTTGTTGTCTTATTCATAGACTCTTCCAGGTCTGTGATTCTAGCAGGATGTACTTCTACCTAAATGTGGGTGAGATTTGGGTTAGAAGGGATTTTTTGTTATGCATATATGCATTACATATATATTTCTGCTGATATGTTTCTGCTGAAAGGATATAGTCAAAGCAACATTCTTTGAACAAACTCTTCAATATGTATTTACACAGGGGATGACTCCACTGATGTACGCTTGTGTGAGGGGAGATGAAGCAATGGTCCAGATGTTGCTGGATGCTGGAGCAGACCTAAACGCCGAGGTGAGGCTCTTCTTGTTATTGCATGCATTTTACGCCACCATGATTAAGGTATGGACATTGCTGAGATCCAGTGTTAAGGATGTCAATGCATGAAAATGACGTTACTTCTGAGCTCCTGCCACCAAATACTCCCAATGTTGGACAGAGTTTTGTCTCCTCCTTGGCTTGGCTTGTCCTTCAGAATTAGCCTACTGTCCTCAGTGTGGTAGAGAACATTGTCCTCTATGAGTGTTGATCTAACATTCAGCTGCTAGTCATTTTTTGCACATGGAATTGTCAGGATGAATGGGATCTTGCAACTCAAATAGCAAGGGATGGCTCTAGTTATGACTTTTATTAAAAGTTCTTTGGTATTTAGGGCTGGTAGTGGTATAAGTATGATCTCAACAGTTTGCACTACACAGTGGGATTTACTTTTGATAGAATAGCACTGCATGGCTGTCATCCTATTTATACTTTCAGGGGAGTAAACCCTATCAAAAACAGTGATGCATACTTGGGTGGCAAATATGCATAGGAATGTGATACATTTTTAAAGAAAACATGCAAATGCTACACGACTCACAGATGAAAGATAAACTTGATCAAATTTGTTTTTCCTCTCTACAGCAAAACATATATATAGTTTATTCATCAAACAAGCTTAAACTATCAACTTCTACACATTATCATATTGTAGCTATCAATAATCATTTGTTACAGTTTTTTGAGAACATAAATATATTAAGTTGTCTGAGCCTGCTAATTTGTGTTCCATTCCCTTTGTTTAAACTTGTTGGTGTTATGTTTATATGTGTAACTTACTGCAAATGTTAGCAATATAGGTAAAGGTGTATAAAATCAAGACAATTCTTTATGACTTCAAACATTACAGATGTAACATGGAGGAATAAGTATAGGACTGCACCCTCACCTCCATATGGCCATTTGGGGACATCACAAGCCCTGGAATGGTCTTGGTGAAAAGGAATTATGTGCATCTTTAAAAGGCTAATATATTCCAAAATATCCAGTTGTGAGGCTGTGAGATTATGGGATCTCTCCCTCTCTCCCCCCTCTCTGCCCAGTAGAAGTTTTGGACTATAATTTCCATCATCCCCACACAACCCGATATGGTGTTTATGGACCTTGGAGAACCAGCACAATACCATGATTTTCAAGTTCCCATGACTGATTTTTTTTGTCTCTTTCATTCATTCATTCACACATCTATCTATCTATCTATCTATCTATCTATCTATCTATCTATCTATCTATCTACATTTGACCAAAGAAAATCTGTCATGGAAGCCTGAAAATCATGGCATTGTGTTGGTTCTCCAAGGTCCCAATACACCATATCTGGTTGTGTGGGGATGATGGGAACTATAGTCCAACACTTCTACTGGACATAGGGCTTGAGGAGGCTTCTGTAGACCTTTGTTGGGGAAATGCCCCATTGAAAGCATTAGCAGTTGCTTCTGAGTAGGCACTAATATCTCCATCAGTTTCAGCAAAGCAGCCAGCCAGTATATGTGTGTTTGGCATTGACAGTATATAACAGTGTTTCTCAAACTTTCTTCCTCCAGGTGTTTTGGACTTCAGCTCCCAGAAATCCCAGCCAACTTACCAGCTGTTAGGAATTGTGGGAGCTGAAGTCCAAAACATCTAGAGGAGTACAGTTTGAGAAACTCTGGTATATAAAGATGACACAATAAAAGGGGGAAAGGGGCTAAAACTAATTTAATAAGACTTCTCAACTGATTATGAGTTTTGCTTCAAGATTTTAATTGCATCTTGTTGTGAAAAAGTAGGTTGTAGCTTAAAAAGTAAAGCAGAACAAAATTATATACCTGAATTAAAAGAGATAAATACTTTTGAAGTGCCAAACAACAAGCCAGTGTTTGACTTCATTTGCACAGTTAAATCGGGTTTTATTTAACAGGAATTACAGATTGAGTATCCCTTATTTGAAATATTTGGGATCAGAATGCTTTTGTAATTCAGATTTTGGAATACTTGTATCTATATATAGGTACATAATGAGATCAGTACAAGGGAATGAAATGGCTGCTGTATAGCTTTCCTATACAATATTATGAGGAATGGTGGGGATGTGGGAAGATTTAGGTGCCCCCTGATATTCTTTTAAATGGCATGCTAAATACAACATAAAGCTTAACCTTCATTTTTCTTTGGGGCAGACCTGCTAGGGATGTAAGTTTGTTCCTCACATCCCATGCCTAGTGAAACTTCCCTTTCCCAATTATTTATTAATCCAAGGAGATTAGTGCCCTTCCTCTTTATGTGTCTCATCCTTGATTTTTCTAATTTTCTAATTTTAATATGTATTCTAAGTGCTCTCTCTCTCTCTCTCTCACACACACACACACACAGAGAGAGAGAGAGAGAGAGAGAGAGTTAATTACACATCTATCTTGGCCCTTTTCGGTTCTTGCTTTTCAAACAAATAAATATATACTAATTTGTTTTAACTAAATCAACTAAGAGCCACATGGCACCAGGAGTGTAGCTACAGCAGAGTCAAAATGAAGGCATGCTTCCCATTGAGAATTCTGTCATCCTCATGACATTTTCTTCAGTGCCAAATTTCTAGCATTGTGGAAAGCAATGTGAAAAGACCTTGGGATTACAGCTGATCATAAATTGAATTGTTGCCGCAAAGAAGAGAAGTGAAAGTTTAGCCTTGATTATCAGGAGCATTGTTTCCAAGTTGAGGGAACCACTGTGCTATTGTCAGCACTGGTCAGGCCTAATCTGGAATATTGTAACCAGTTCTCAGTGTGTCATTTTAAGAAGGCTATAGACAGGTTGTGGCAGGTTTAGAGAAGGGCAGCAAGAATGATAAAATATATGGAGAATATATGAGCAAAGGTTGAAGGAGCTAGGCTTGTTCAGCTTGGTGAGGAAAAGCCTGATTGCACTCGTTAGGTACTTTGAGGAGCATCACAGTGAGGAGAAGGCAGACCATTTCTCTGTTGCCCAAAGGCTAGTGCCATATCTCATGGTTTTAAGTTACAGGAGGGTAGATTTCCATGGAACCTTAGAAGGAATTGTTGGATTGTAAGAGCAGTTTGGCAATGAAGCAAAGGAAGATTGGTTTTTCTCCTTGGGAGAAAAAAGAGGGTGGATGGGTCCTGTTGGGGATGTCTTACTTGGACATTTTGCTCTGAGTTGGAGGTTGAACTTGATGACCCACGATACCATCTCTGTAAATCGAGAATTCTATGGATCATCTACACCAAGAATTATTAAATTTCCTGTGTTCACATTCCCTTAGTAATTTTACCTATCTCAAATATTTGGAGGCCTAAACAGTAGTATTTCAAAATGTTCAATTGAAGTTTAAAGTTATTGTAATGATGAAACTGTGGGGATTTAAGCAGAAATTCAATTGAGGGGGCAGAATTCTTATTGGAGAGACATGTTGCCTTTTCCTCTTCCATACCAATGTGCCACTGTAATGGTTGTGCAATGACACAGCGTGTGAGATGTATCCAATAGTTCAAACTTCAGCACACCCGTTTTTTAAAAGATGTAATTGCTGTGTCTGGAATGGCCAAAATACAGTTAAAATCCTGAAATTGTTTTGCTCTCAATCACAAGAGATGGGCATTCCACTTGCTTTCACACTGAGTAAGCATAAGAATTGTAAATACATCGCTCCTGCATAGTTTGCTGCCCTTTCAATTTCCTTGCTTACCTTGATACAATACAAAGCAGCCTTAGATGGAGTGCTCAGAGCTCATGTTGAGTTTCATGGACATCCTTTGTTATGTGAAGCAAATGCATGATTGCAGTAGCAACTGCTCTGATACACTCAGGAACAATCAATTACAGCTTCTCTGAAGAATCCTCAAATCCTGCTGCTTGCAGTTAGTTTAGGGCCATCAACTATTTTTTTCAGGGATGGACAAAGGCGCAAGAATATTTTTAGAACTCAACTAATTTAAAATCGTGTTTGGATCTCTTTCCTGTCGAATTGTGAATGAAACAGAGAGCTATTGACAGGGACTAGTCAGCATGTGCCTGCTTAGCTCAGATCTGTTGAAGTCAGTTAAAACCATCTGGTGCCGATATGGGCCTATCTAATGGTATTTAAATAAGACCTCACAGTAAATCAGGGTGGAAAAATTGTGGCATGTAACCCATATGTAACTTTCAAAGTTGTTTGTGAGGCTACCACCAAAAATTATACAAAAATAACTTGTTGGAAATTTTTGCTATATTTTCAAATCAGAGAATGACATTTTTACAAATAGAAAGAAAATAGAAATTAGAGAACTATTCTCGTTGAAAAGAGACCCTGAAACTCTCAAAGAAAGACCCAAAAAGATATTAAAATGCCTTCCTTGGCCCCCAAGATGGAAAGGTCAGCTTCTTGGTGGTTAAAAGTAGAAAACCGGGGCTTCAGCTGGGGAATATAGCCACCCAAGGTCCCAAGAGATGAAAGTGCAATTGAAGCCAATACGGAGCCATAGTTTAGTATTAACACTCCAGAGAAAACACTGTAGGATCACTGGCCCATGCACACAAATTGGAGTCCCCTATTGCTTTTTCCCCATTGTATATTAACTACAGTTTAGTGTACTAGTCACACCTTGCAAACTGGTTAATTTTAATACAGATTTGTGTTTATGTTCACTTTAAACTGGGTTTTATACTACTATATAACTAACCAGTAAAAATTAACCAAGGATTAAGGATTAGAAGTCACACTGAGATGCAATTAACCTGGAATGGAAACTGGAGCATTCAGTCTCCTTGCAACCATGTAATGAAGGGGGGGGGGGGGTGCCAAGACATAGAATTACCGAGAATCTTTCCCATAATGCCAAACTGTATCATTTATCACTAATTAGCAATAATTAGTTCATTGAAGATGTTGGTCCAGTCTACTGAATCCTTTCTCCCCTCCCCCCCCCCCTTTTTGCTATATCTGCACTGAAAGTGCTGTAGAATACACCCAACGCTCTACTTTAGCTGTTTACCAATGTAGGTAGAAAGTAGTGTCCAGATTGGGTTGTTGTAAGTTTTTCGGGCTATATGGCAGTGTTCTAAAAGCATTCTCTCCTGACGTGAGGTTGTGACCTCACAACCTCTGAGGATGCCTGCCATAGATGCAGGCAAAATGTCAAGAGATAATGCTTCTAGAACATGGCCATATAGCCTGAAAAACCTACAACAACCCAGTGATATTGGCCATGAAAGCCTTCGACAATACAGTGTTCAAATTGTCCTTTGGGAAGATTGTTCCCCATTTCTAATCTTCTCATCCAGAAACCCAGAAGGTCTGTGATTGGGGGGAAGACAATTCATTATTGCTACTCTAGACAATTGGTTGCTCACCTCTTAACCACAACCAATCAATAGAGCTTCCAGGGAGGAAATAGGCTAGCAGTTCTGTACCTTTAAGAGAATGTCAAACTACACCTGCTGAAATTGTATTTCAGGCAATTGTTAAAGGTACAGGATCCCTGTTCAGTTTTTCACCTAGTAACCCTACTAATGAAATGTGACAGTTACAACTGTTATATCTCAGCAGTCTGTAATCAGTTGCAACAGCTATAATTGTGTCTTTCAATTAAAGGCATAGAAGAATGTTCAGGAAAGTGTGTGTTCCTGCTATAAAATTTTAATTGGATGTTGTTTCTTGAATGCCTTTTGCATGCTTTCTTGCCTTCTTATATATACTGGAGTGTGTCCAGCATTCTGGCGAGTTGTTTTGATTAGATACAGTTTTTCTCCAGTCATTTATAAAAGAAAACTGCTTTATCTGTTTATAGGTTGTCAGTACTCCTCATAAATATCCATCCGTCCACCCTGAGACCCGCCATTGGACTGCTCTGACATTTGCTGTATTGCATGGACATATTCCTGTAGTCCAGGTATTGCTGTATTTCCCTTTGCTCCATCTCATGTTTAATTTCTCACTTTTAGGTTTGTATTGGCACTCATCCCATAATTGGCCACCATTCTCATAATGGTTCCCCTTGCTTCTTCTTTGTTTGCTTTAGATGTGTCTGGATATACTTTTATATATATAATAAACTATTATATATAACTATAGGCACTACTGATATCCTAAACATATTTACTGTGGAGTAATTCCTGTTTTGTGCAGTAATACTTACTTCTGAGTAAAAATGCATAGGATTGTGCCATAAGCCAATATAAAACTAAAACAGAGTCATTCTAAAAAAAGTTGTAGCCATCAGCTCCTTTTGTTACTGCTCAGCCATGTGTCCTATGTATCTGTTTATGTATTATTCTTTCTTGTGTCAGTGAAAACAATGTAAGACCTCTATCACTCACAACTGGACCCAATGCTTTCTTTTACAGGCTGAGTTTCCTTTTTTCAAAAATCCAAAAGCCTCTAAAAACTGAAACTTTTGGCTTCCTCTCTCAATTTCTGCTTTTGAAGAAAGGGGGCTAGTCACACATTCAGCTCACACTTGAGTTTTCCTCAAGGAGTTATTGCTTCACCACAGTTGGAAATTTGGTGAGGGAAAGGGAAGTGGGGGAGGACTGGGTTCTGCTGTCAGATATACACAGATGCCCTGTAAAAAGCAGAGAGCTATGGGGAGGGAAAAGGCCAAATGCATCTGGCTGCTGCAGATTTTCCTTCTGCTCTGACCAGTGACAGAATAGAGAGGGGGCCAAGCATAGCATGGATGGGCTGAGCAGCTTGAGCTTTGCAACATTCCCTGAGTTTGGACTGTTCTCTTCCTTGACATCTCCTTTTCAGATATGATTTGTGTAGTTTTTGCAGCAGAACTCATGGTCCTCCACCTTCCTTTTCCCACATCAAAATTCTAACTGCAGTGGAGCAACAGCTCCTTGAGAAAAACCCGTCAGGGCCTGGATGTGTAACTAGCCATCCTTCCTCCTTTGCCTCATTCACTATTTATATGCAAATACAAGTTTTCCAAAAAAAAGAGAGAGATTTTTTAAAGCCCTCTGGTCCCAAATATTTTGAATATGGAAGGCTCAACCTGAAAAACAGGCAAGATTGAAGCTGGGTTCAGTGAAGGAGAGATATTTTTCTCTCCAAACATTTTTCTTTACATGTGATTCACCAAAGCTTCAAAATAAACAAAAAGAAGAGAAAACATTTCATGCAATTCTTAATTAACAAGTGAGATTAATGACTTTGTGATGGTATTATGATCATAAATTTAGATGGCTTTGAAAACGATAAAGCAGATTAACAGCTTATTGACCTACCAATGATAACTCAAATCTGAGGCTTTTACATTAAGAAGCACTCCACTCCTGATTACTAGGTCCCACTTGTTATCTTTCAAAGGGCATCTAATTGATCTCTCTCTGTTAGCTGTGATTTAGAAAGGCAGTTGTTGCATTGTTATCCTGGTTCAGGCATGACTGCATGATGTTAGTTGCTGGTGAATGGATGTGCTCATACAGTACATCCAATTACCATATCCCTCATGTTGTTCATCATTTTCTACTCTCCAAGCTGTTTATGCAACTGATATGGCTAATGGTACACTGCTCAGCCTACTAGCTATCATATCAGTGCAATGCATCCCGACTTTCTCAGAACTAAGTATTGCCACTCTCACTTTCAATTACTAAATCCCCAGAGGATTAATTTCAAGCACACACTGCCCCATAAGCTTGTCAAATACTCAAATATGTTTTTGTCTTCAGTGACAAAAAGAATGCCTCAATATATTGAACAGTCTGCACATAAAATTATGTAAAAACCTTAATATTTTGTACAAAACTTAATATTTTGTTCAAATTCTTTGTTTTATTTATTTACGGTATTTATATACAGCCTTTCTCACCCCTGGGGGACTCAAAGCGGTTCTGTGCACAACACCCTTTTTCTGCAGGGATTTTTTTTTTAAAAATCCTTGTGGAAAAACATTAAACACATGTAGAAAACATTAAAAGTGCAAAAATGATTGTAGTCAACCCAATTGACCTGGTTGAATTTTCCAGAACATTGAGGTTTATCAAGTGGCAGATAAGCAAAGCAATGATATATATTTCCAGTGCTCCTTGCTACTTCTAGAAAACCCATTTTATTGTGCAATTCTCCAGTTTCATTAATTGAATTTTATCATTTCTTGTGTGATGTTAGCAAGCTATTATTTATTTATTTGTTTGTTTGTTTTTCTCCCACTTTTCTCCCATGGGTGGGAGTCAAAGTGGTCTACATAGCTAAAACAGCATTAAAAATTCAACAAAACATCATAAACTACAGGAAACAAATAACACACGATACATATAAAAACAGATAAATAAATTACAGTGAGCATCATTAATAATTTCCCTAATTTTTTAATGTCACATATTCACATTCTTATAGGATGGCAGTGGCAAACCTCTGGATAAATCTTTCCCAAAACAACCCCATAATAAGAGTTACCATACATAATAACAACACAGTCCTCCTGTGTTTTTCTTTTCTTTTTCTCCACCTATTTTTAAAGTAAAAAAATAACCTCTAGCAAGGGATTTCAAAAATAGTTACACAATGCATTTTGTTTTGTGGATCTCGGAAACCTATAAATTAAAGCACCCCTAGAGAGAGGTGACAACATTCAGACACAACACTACACTATCAGCTTTAAGCCAATTGCATTCACCACACTGAGCTCTCAGATTATTTGTGCCAGTGTGGCCAGTCTCCACTTACATTTCTCCATTCCTTCTTTTAATATTGTAGATTGTCAAGTTTTTATTGAATAGAGAGTGGCAAATAGAGAAATGGTCCAACATAACAATATAGTCTTCTGCTTCCGTTTCCCTCTAATGCGGGGTTGCCAAACTCATTTTCACCAAAGATCACATCAGTCTTATAGTTGCCTTCAAAGAGCCATTTGTAATTGTAAGACTGTATAAGTGTATGTTGTCTTGGCATTAAAAGCCTCATTAGTCACATAGAATAAATGACAGGGCAGGCCGGATTCAGCCCATAGGCCATGTGTTTAACATATGTGCTCTAATATCTCTATCTGGATTTTTTTATTATTTGTTTCAGAAGGATTTTGTGAATTTAATATATATCTTAAATATTGTACAGTTACATTTTGAAAGGGATTGTTTACACACAGGTCCAGTTCTTGGAATCTTCTTTAATGAAACAGATCTTAGTCTATTTAAGGCCAATCCTTGCTTAAGAAGTTGGAGCAATTGTGCTTGTGGACTGAGTAGAAGGGAACATGGCTCAACATGGCGGGGGAAGGAACATCCTTCTGCTTGGTCAGTGAGTCACCTGTAGCTTAGAGGCACCCATGACCTACTGCCATCTTGCATAGGAAAGATGGGCAAGTAACCTACATATAACCTAAAGTAACCTAAATATAGCGAGGGTAGGGTGGAAATTCTTCGAAATCTTCCATTCTTATCTCTTTTTATTTTTTGACATCAATTTTGTTTTCCTCCCAGAAGTTCTTTTGAATAAAGCCAAGATGTATTGCCTGCAAATTGCCTTTAGATGTGATCTTCAAGACCATTTTGTGGCACACAAGGGTCAAAAATGTTTTCTAAAACTTAATCCTTTGTGAGCTGGAAGCCATGTTTGGGGGCTTTATTTTAGGAAGCAAACAGAGTGACTTCTGGGCCATTTCTTTTATTAAAAAATGCCCCTATTCCTGATAAGGCTCTGTAATAACAAACAAAATGGTGAAAATGCCCCCACATTTCCTAGAAGGCATTGGGGTGGGGGTGGGGGAGAGAGTTCAGCAGAAAGAGCGATGGTAGCGTGGCTCTCCCAAGATCTCGTGAAAGGCAGATGCATCGCTCTTTCCTCTGACATTTGCCCTTTGATCTACACCCATTTCAGTGACCAGGTTTTTCTGCAATAAACTTTGGAAGGAGTGCCAAAAAAGGTCAAAAATCAAACAGAAGTTAGCCTTTGCTTTTCTGCAGAAGTTGCATTTCCCACAAGTGTGGATTTCTGGTATGCTTCAAAGTGAAGCATTTTTCTGGTTATTTCACATGTTTAGGTTATATGTTAATGGTGCCTTTCATTGATGTTTGTCCATGACAACTATTAGGATCATGAAGAATGCCAATTTTTAAATAACTTCCAAGTCGGCATTAGGATATAGTTAACACGCCCTTTTCTCTCATAGGTCTCAGAAATAATTTACCATCTAATATCTCCAAATGCACATTTTAATGCCAATAATATATATCTTGGGTTTCTGTGAGCTTTCTGGGCTGTATGGCCATGTTCCAGAAGTAGTCTCTCCTGTTGTTTCACCCACCTCTATGGCAGGCATCCTCAGAGGTTGTGAGGTATACCTCATAACCTCTCAAGATGCCTGCCATAGATGGGGGGGGGGGGGAAAGGGTCAAGTGAGAATGCTTCTGGAACGTGGCCATACAGCCTGGAAAACTCACAGCAACCCAGTTTCCAGCCATGAAAGCCTTCGACAATATATATCTTCTTTACGTGAAAGCTAAGTGGAAATAATTGCGAAATATACATGTGATAGAACTTTCAAAAACTCCCAAAATGCTCATCCCAGTGCTTGGGTATCCATGGAAGCATTGAGTCTAGAAGGAATCTTCAGAGCCACTAGGATGGTGACTGAAGCAGACATCAAGCTGGTCACTACAGAAAAGCTTTTGGTTAATTCAGGGATGGACAAAGTACATGTAACACATGCAGCCTCCAGGGTGGTTTTTAGAGCTTCAGGGCCCCCAAGGAGTTTTTTAAAAAAAGTTTTTAAATGCCCTAAAATTATCTCTATGGGATAAATAGGCAAGTCTACATATATGGATACTCCTAAACCTCCCTCAAGGTGACAAAGCTTTTCTTTTTTTTTCAATTTCTTCGAAAGAATTTTTCAAAATGTCCCAAATGTCTTTTTGTATTGCAGAGGGGTTTTGCCCTTCCCCCAAAAGAAATATTTTTCAGCAACAGATGTGGCCCTACAAGGTCTCCTGGAAGCTAATTTGGCCCTCAGTCTTTCACAGTTGCCCATTCTTGGATTAATGGGAAGTTGAGAGATATCATATCAGTTCTGTGAACTTTCTTAGGACTGAGCCTCTTCCTGCGTAATGTTAGGGGTGGTGGTTAAAATCGGAATGCGAGTTAAATGCAGTAGGTCCACTGCTATTTCTGAGGCCCAACATTGCTAAATTGGTAGCAAGACAAGGGCCTATAGGTCCACTACTCCAGAGTTTTCCTTATCCACAGTGCATTTTAAGGAATCAAGAGAAAGCAAGGAATCAAGGAACAAAATGCCGGACAAGCAAATGCATGAATGGGACATCACATTTCATCCAGTATTTTCCTTCCCTTGATACTTGCGATTTTACAATGTGGCTGCCCCTCCTCACAAACCTGCTCCCTTCCTGATGCATGATATACTACCTGAGTGACCTCCAGTAGACACCAGGCTGAAAAATACAACCTTGGTTGTAAATATGTAATCAGTCATAAGCCCAGTTGGAAATTGGCCTTGAATTCAGTTGGCTTTGAACCTGCCCAGCTTCCTTTGGCATCCAGTTAATCTTCAGGAAGTTGCAGACAGGTATAAATCATCAGCTTTAAATGGTGAATTTCCTTTGTAGTTGTTGCTGGATGCAGGTGCCAAAGTAGAAGGTTCGTTGGAACATGGTGAAGAAAACTATTCGGAAACTCCCTTGCAACTGGCAGCAGCTGCTGGTAAGGCTTTTCTGATCAAGCTGTTTAATAACTCCCTAACTAAGAAGATCCACTTGAAGAGGTCTTTTAAAAGTTCTCATTTCTTATTCTACAGGAAATTTTGAACTGGTTAGTCTCCTTTTGGAACGAGGAGCCGACCCCATGATTGGAACCATGTACAGGAATGGCATTTCCATGACGCCGCAAGGTGATATGAACTCCTTCAGCCAGGCGGCTGCACATGGACACAGGTAGAGTTGGGAGAACCCTAAGGAAATGGCTACGGTAATTCATGTGCACAAGATGGTGTGAAATATTGCAAAATCTGTGAGCCGTGCTTCCATTGCAGGTGTCAGTCTCTGCATTTCTAAGTGTGCTTTTCAAATGCTGTAATGTTGCTGTGTGTTAAATACTGGATAAAAAGTTGTCTCAGCAATGATAACTTAAAGGAATGTTCATATTCAGAGGCAGTGTATCTGAACATCAGACATTGGGGTCTGAGAAATTTTGTTTTGTTCTGTCAATGGGGAGATAGGAACCATATCTGATGTTAGCATTAGAACACAAACCAGGAGCCAGGACAAGGTAAGGGCCACTTTATCATAACCTGAATTGGAAGCCTATGGCACTGTTCCAGACAAGGAGTTCCAGTAGTCAGTCTAAGCAAATAGATAGCCATCTGCTGGGGATGCTCTGAATGCAATTTTCCTGCTTCTGGGCAGGGAGTTGGACTGGATGGCCCATGAGGTCTCTTCCAACTCTATGATTCTATGAGTCAAGTACAGTGTCAGATGGTGACTTTCAGACTTTAAAGGAACTATCTAGTGCACTAAACCTATTTTGGTGATAGGGTTCAGCATCTTCAGTAGCTTCTTTAAGCTCAGACTGTAAAGCCCAGAGTGGATTCACTATCCCACAGACATGGAGGACTTCACTCACCAGTTATTAATTCCCTAGGGAAACTTGTCTAGGACACAATTTTTCAACTCTAAGCACACCATGTGTTGTAAACGGCAGCTCAAAGAATTCCTGACCATTGGCCATCCTTCCTAGGGCTTCTTAAAACCAAAATTCAAAAAAGCTGGGTCACAAAAGAACCACAAGATACCAGTTATATCCCTGGCATCTCTGACACCTTATTGTCTGTGAATTCCCAGAGACATCTGGCTGGCCCCTTCTGTGGAAAAGAGAGGTGAATGCCTGGTTTAATCTAGGAGGTCCCCTTTGTGTCCTTAATGGAATGATTGAAAGAGGAAGACTATGCATTAACTCTTCAAATCTGGCAGAAGTAAAAGTAAACATATTGTGACAATCCTTTGATCCATGTGTGCATCTGTACCACAAAACTGTGGAATTGGAAAGCATCTTCAAGGTTATTTAATCCAACAAAAAGAACAGTATTTCTAACAGACATCCTGCTTAGCTTTTTCCTACACCAGCTGTCGGTGTGTCTTCCCAAGTTCTATTTTTGGGCTCCTTCCAAACCAGTCACAACGAAACAGGTGGCTATGGAGTCCTGCTTGTTGCAGAAGAGAGAAAAAAATATTTCAAACATGGTTTTAATTTACAAATGAATGGCTTGGCAAATTCCATGAGGCATTTGAGGAAAATATGAGGAAAGAGGCTAAATTCACGAAGTAGCCCAATCTGAAGGACACATGGCTCCCTAAGTAAATATGAAATCATAAGTTTGTCAGATTTTGGAGAAATGGCTATGGTGAGATGGAGGAAGGAAATTCCATGAAGGTGTCAGTGTCTGAAGCAGTGTGAATTTAAGAGACAGGAGAACAGATAAATCACATGAAAGAAGATCAGGTTTGAGGTATGAGAGAAATGTTACCAAATGCACATCTATGAATATTTGGGACACAGAGAAAGTGAATCCAAGTGTGATTTCAGACATAATTCTAAGTTATTATACAAAACTTTAATTAAGAGCACCTCTGAATGTGAACCTGAAAGACATTACAGTTGAGGTGAGGTGATAACAAGACTTTTGTTTGTAGTGGTCGATTTGTTATGATGCATTCACACATGCAAACCATGGCTTGATCTTGTGGAGTGATAAATGTGCAATATGTTGATGGTCTCTTAGAGAGGTAGAGGATGGACAATATGAGGGTGCCCAAAAAGCAATTGCACCCAAAACAAACCTTCATAGACTCCTAGATGGTTCTTCCCTTTGCCACAGCTCCTTTCCAGAACACTCACACTTCCTAATGAGAGAAGCCTGTTTCCATTCCATCATGATCGTGTCCACCTGTATTAATTGACACCATTCTGAATTGATACCAGTTCATGTTAACAGATATGTTTCCATGTTTCCAGGAGATCATAGGATTGCTTAGCATGTGTGGTCACTTTTGGAAGCTGTTTATAGCTTTTGTTGTGGCTTGTCACAGACTAGCTGTCCGAACTCTTCGAAATCCAAATTATGCATTCTGCACAAAATTCTGCAGCAAAATTAGCACTTACGGCTATATTAAGGAGTAAGAATTTACTATAGGTTCATTTTCACTAAGGGTGAAGAGTGATGCAACATTTTATAAACAGCATGTACAGTGTGTATGCAGCTTCGCTGTACTCAATGCAAACGTTCTTTCCTCTTTCCAAGGCCAGGCTCTAAATAGATGGGCTTTACAAGTTCACAGTCATCAAAGCTGGCATCTGTAATGTAGCATTAGCACCTCTCACAATCCCAAAGTGGTACTGCAAGTCTTGAAGATTTGCAAGTACTTTAATAATTTTTTCCATTAAAAATAAAGAAGATGAAGGATGAACTTTCTAATTCATGTGGTGCTTTAGAGATAGACTGGTGAGTGGGTAGGATCTTACCAGAAATGAACTTTTGGAGAGTATCTCATTTGGGTTCGGTGCATCTACTGTTGATATTGATCTTTCTCTCATACAAAGCCAAAACTAAGCCAGATTCATATGATAAGTGAAGACCCGCTGTGATATCTCATTGAATGTTAGATCTCTCTTCACCCTGAGAATACTGGATTGTGGTTATCATCTTGGCTATCACTGAATATATCTTCCTTTATTACATTGCATGGCATAATGCATCTGTCATTTCACTTAGCAAGAGAAAGGTGTTTCCTCCCCCTGTAAATACACCCAGGAAGACACTCTTTAGCCCTTTGCTCTCGAAACATTGCTTATTCTATCCTCCACAGGACTGAACATGCGCAGCTAGCAAGATGTAAGCATATAAGGTAGGTGGGAGGTAAGGGAGAAAATGCACACTGGGCTTGATTGATAATTTCTAGCAGATCATCCATAGGGGATGACTCAATTGGATTTAATGGTGTCACAAAGGTGTAAACTTGTTGATGAAGAAGAGGAAGGAGTCTCTGTTTCAGATATTATATTGCACAAAATGGGGGGAAAGCATAGCTTGAAAGCAGGTTTGATAGAGAATCTAGTTAGACATTCTAACTAGATTTAGCATTAGCTAGATGACTGCTTCGCTGTAGATTAGCTTTGCAGCGAACAGTTCCAACCTGGTGGCCTTTCTCCTGCCCCCACCCTTGTCTTTTTGCCCTTTGATTGACAGAAATGTGTTTCGTAAGCTGCTTGCTCAGCCAGAGAAGGAGAAGAGTGATATCCTGTCCCTGGAGGAGATACTGGCGGAGGGAACTGACTTGGCAGACGGCGCTCCCGCACCTTTATGTGCCAGCCGCAACAGCAAGGCCAGACTGAAAGCTCTGAAGGAAGCAATGTATCACAGTGCCGAACACGGATATGTGGATGTTACCATTGACATCAGGAGCATAGGTCAGTTTTGGTTTCCACTGTGCTTTCTCTCTCACGAGAAAGTGTCAGAAACACGACTTGATGTGAGAGGCCTCTGTCACTTGTGCTGACAATTTCTTATTGTTCCCAAGTACTTGTCAAGCCAGAAAAAAGACAAGTTTTGAATGTGTCTGGGAAGACATGATCATTTGAATGTTAAAAATAAACCAATGTGACTAGATTTTTAATTTCTCACAGATTTGAGATTTATATTTGGGTCTGTAATTACAATTAGTTATGGATTATTATGTGAAATACATTATTTCAAAAGTGGCAAGAATGGCTTACAGGCTGTTAATTTGGTAGTTCCTACATGAGTTATATATAGTCAGTCCTCCATATCCATGTATTCGCCAACCATGATTTCAACTACCCATTGCTCAAATATGTTTGAAATAATAATAATAATAATAATAATAATAATAATAATAATAATAATCTTTATTTATACACCATCACCATCTCCCATAGGGACTCAGGGCGGCTTACAAAGCAAACAGTGGTGCCATACAACATAAAATACAATATATCAACATTACACATTCAATATCAGATGTATAAAGTTAACAAGAGCAATAAAATCAATAAAATATGGCAATAGTAGTTCATTAAACGATCCATACAATCAATGTATACAATCCAGATAATCTATAAGATTCCAAAAAGCAGTTCTTTATTTTGTCATGTACCAAGCACTATGTTGTTGTGTAGACATACTATACTACCCTACTATAGCTTCCTGCCATTTCACAGATCCTCAGGCTCTCTGTGATACTTGTTTGAGTTGTTCACCATTTTATAGGGACTATTTTAATATGACTTGAGCATCCATGGATTTTGGTATCCATGGGGGTGGGTGGTGGTCCTGGAAGCAAACCCTCAGGGATATTGGGAACCCACTTTGCTGTTCATTAATCTGATCGTGGAGAAAACAGTTACTAAGCAGAAAACCAATATTATTTGATTTTCAGTCAGTGCATCCCTATGTGATAATGAACACTGTGCCAGGAGAGATGCCCTGGAGATGCCCTGTTCTTTTTGGAAGAGGAGAAATGCCTTTTTAAAGAATGTTTTTGTTTCACACAAACTTCTAATATTATCCTAGAGGAACAGAGGTGTAGGAAAATAGATCTTCACAACTGACCAAGGGACTAAGAATCACTGGAAAGCTAAATGCCCATGTCTTGGCAAGAGAGAGAGAGAGAGAGAGAGCTCAATTTAGCACTATTGGTCAAGTCAATAAAGAGGAGCTTTAGAAAGTGTGCCCCATGTCCCTTTGCTAGAAAGACGTTTCAGGTCCAACTACCAATTGCCCAGGGAAGGACATTGTGGCCCCCACACATTTACAGTACTGGTTCTCATTCCTGCATTATTGGCTGCCAATCCATAACATGTTTCTAGGGCAGAAAGAGAAAAAAATGTAATCAGTGGGCACATACATGGTGCTGGTATGAACAAGAAATACTGCAATTGCTGATTTCATACATCAGATAACCTGAGAAGTACTAAGATAAGGGACTAATGGGTGGGATTGTGTAAACTTGGTTATTTGTATATGTCAGGCATATGTTTTGGACCACAATGTCTATAATCACTTGGCTTACCTAGCAGGAGCTAATAGGAGCTGAAGTCTTGAACATCTGGAGATTTATTTTGTGCTCTCCAGGGGCATATGATTTATAAGCCTAATTTGTTTGATCAAAAAGATACTAATATATTTTATCAAAAAACATTTAATTTTTTTAAAGATCCAATGACTGAGCAAAATGTCATGGCACCTTTGTTTTAACAGAATTGTCTACAACAGATAGCAGGCTGGGATATTTATTCAGAATTAGATTCTTAGATAAGGAACATCAAGAATGGCAAGACTGAGATTTGAAATTTGACCCGTGTCAGGAGGTATGTAAACATTCAGAGACATAAACATCTAGGACAATTTCTGTTTTAAACAGGTGTCCCATGGACTCTTCATACATGGCTGGAATCCTTGAGGACTGCTTTTCAACAGCACAGAAGACCTCTTATCCAGTGCTTGCTAAAAGAATTTAAATCCATCCAGGAGGAAGAATACACTGAAGAACTCATCACACAAGGATTGCCTTTGATGATTGAGATCTTGAAGGCAAGCAAGGTAGGTCAAACTGTGGCCTCATTATAGTTGTCATCACTGTCAGTGCCTATCTTGTTTTTGCTTGGGGGGGAGGGAATAAAAACTTGATGTAATATATATAACAAAGCACAAAGACATGAAAAGGGAAGGAAAAATCTTAAACTATATCCAGGGAATAAACGTACATAATTTAAAATATCACCATATGAGAGTGGAGTAGTCTTTATAACAGCCAGTTTTCAAACATTTTTCAAATTCTTGAAATAAAAAAAAATGCTTATATCTGAATCTTATAAGATCCTACATAAAACACATCTTTCTCAGATAGAATCCAGATTTTTGAACTCCAAATTGGCAGTTTCATAACCTTTCGTGTGATTTCTTGTCATTCCCAATCTATTAGGGAATATGACTGGGAGATAAATAAATGGTGTTTCAGCTTATGTATTGTTGAAGGTTTTCATGGATGGAATCACTGGGTTGTTGTAGGTTTTTCAGGCTGTATGGCTGTTTTCCAGAAGCATTCTCTCCTGATGTTTCGCCCACATCTATCCTCAGAGGTTGTGAGATCTGTTGGAAACTAGGCAAGTGAGGTTTATGTATCCGTGGAATTTCCAGGGTGGGAGAAAGAACTCTTGTCTGCTTGAGGCAACATTCCCCCAGGCAGCAATCAGCCAGGCTTTGAAGCTGCAAGGCCATTCATGCTAATCAAGGTGGCCAGTTGCAACATTCACACTTGCTTTAAGCAGACGAGAATTATTTTTCCCACCCTGGATATTCCACAGATATATAAACTCAATTTTCTTGGTTTCCAACAGATCTCACAACCTTTGAGGATGCCTGCCATAGATGCAGGTGAAATGTCAGGAGAAAATGCTTCTAGAACATGGCCATGCAGCCTGAAAAACCCACAACAACCCGGCATTTCAGCTCTTACTTTAATTCTTTCTCTTCTCCCATGATTTTGTTTATCATCTTAAATATTTAACCTCTCTTTAAACGTAAGTGCTAAACCTGCAGCTGAAAACATCACCCACCCACTGCAAATGGAGTACTCAAATGGAGGAGTACTTCTAATAACATTATATTCCTCCCTCCATATGTAATTTTGCTCTTTCAGCTGCAGTTGAAAATTGTGAGAAGGGTTGATCATTCTGAACACAATATCCTCCTACTTTCATCACTAAGGTTCCAAAGAAGTTTTCAAAATAATAATAATAATAATAATAATAATAATAATAATAATAATAATAATAATAGCATTTTTAAAATGAAGATATAATTGAGATTGGGAAAGGAAGGATGAGAAGGTTTTCTAACACAGACACCTATTTCTGAGACTCTAAAACCTAAAAATATTAAAAGACCAGAACAAAAGTGTAATAAGGAAGAGAATGGAAACATCTTGAATATATGGAATATAATGTGTGGGTGTTTTTTATACAAAATGCAGGAAATACAGCAGAAATTGCTGCCGCCTCTGAATGTGCTCACCTCCTCAAATGGAAGCACAATTTGAATCATACACATGGTGGGTTAGTTCACATACAAAACCAACCATTGTAAAGCTTTCAGGTTACACAGCCCAATTTGTCTTTCTTTTCTACCTTCTCACAATATTTATCATCCTGTGGATTTGTGGTTGGCCTCCAAATTTTACCCACAAATCATCTTCAGACTGTGGTATGTAGCACTGGTTTGTCAGATGAACACAAACTGCAGTTTTCAGGGTTGGGTGTAACGTTAAAATGATGGTTGGCTTCAAACCAAGAAGTCACAAATTAAATAAGGGTGTCCAAGGAGAAAGTGGAAGGGATTTTTTTTTAAAAAAAAATCACGAACACAGGATTCATTCCTATAATACAAACTGATCAATTGGCTTTGACACCTAATGTATTTCCCAAATATCCAAATGTAGTTGTAAAAAAGAGAGAGCTGATGATCTCTATCTACTGCAAAAATAGCTTAATATTGACATTGATAGTGAGTGGGAGAGACACCAGAAGTCAGAGCCTTGTGGTAAAACAGAAAGTCATTCAGGTCACACAATCAAATACAAGAGACTAGAGCATCTGATAAGCAAATGAGAGTAGAGTTGAGTTTTATCTTATCTAGCTGACTAATGTCACAAGGAGATAACTGTGCACCTTGCTTTGAATTTCTTCTTTCTGACATTTCTCAGAGCTGTGAAATATCTTCCATCACATTTGTGTCCCTGCATTTAATATTTTTTTAGGTCGGCTAATTTAACTTTTTGAGAAAACCCCTGGTAATATATTACATGGATTGTTGTTGTATTCGGGCATTGAATGTCTGCCTTTTGTGTTTGGAGTCCGACCTGAATCCCTCCAGGGAGATAGAGTGGAATATAAATAAATTATTATTATTAATAATAATAATAATAATAATAATAATAATTACAGAACAGTTCAGGTTCCTTGACAAAGACTTACACCTTATGAATCTCTTTGAACAAATATGATGTATTTTAGTTTGTATAAATAGCAGTGTAATTAGTTATATGAGAACTGTCCTTAGATTGGTAAACTTTGTACCAAAATGGAGAGAAAGATTTGACTAAACTTGAGAAGACTGCTATATATTCAACACTTTTTAATTTTAATTTGATTTTTTTTTAATTTTTCAAGCACAAATATAAGTTATCATTTTGAGGATATTACATTCATTGAGTACAGCTAGTTAGCAGGTGGGAATAATGATGTTATTCTATGTGCCTTTTGCAAGTTTTCTTTATTTCAGACTATTCCCTTGCTAACCCACTTGGAAAAGACAGATTGACTTGGTAACAGGGAATGGATAAATATTAACCTCGTACTTTTGTTTTGGCTCTCAGTTGAAAGCAGTCATATTTTTATCCCAGGAGCATAACTGAGAATTGTGCTCTCCCAGAGATTATAACAAGGAAGTGATCAGACAAGACAGTGTAGCTTTCCAAAGTCTGAAACAGGGGTTAAGAAGCAGCTCTCCCCTTTTTCATAGAATTATAGAGTTGGAAAAGACATTGTGGGCCATCCAGTTCAACCCCCTGTCAAGAAGTAGGAAAATCACATTCAAGGCACACCCCCCCCCCCGACATTTGGCCATCCATACTTTGCTTGAAAGCCTCCAAAGAAGGAGCAGAGAGTTCCACTGCTGAACAGCTCTCACAGTTAGGAAGTTCTTCCTCGTGTTCAGGCAGAATCTCCTTTCCTGCAGTTTGAAGCCATTGTTCCGCGTCCTAGTCTCCAGGGCAGCAGAAAACAAGCTTGCTTCCTCCTTCCTATGACTTCCCCTCACATATTTATACATGACTATCATGTCTCCTCTCAGTCTTCTCTTCTGCAGGCTAAACATGCAGAAGAGTACTTACAAACTAAATAAGTTTGTAAGTATTGCTCTATCCTAAACTTTCAGTCCCTGGTTTCATAGGGGTTGGACTAGATGGCCCTTGTGGTCTCTTCCAACTCTATAATTCTATTATTCAAATGCCATAGCAGCTACAACTGATTACTAACACCATAAAAAGTGTCATATCGAATTATAATATTTGGTGGGAGTTTTGCACATTCTACAGTCAATAACGGGAACTTGCCAATATATAAGTGCAATACATAGTGTAGGGAAATTCATTGAATTGCTTCAAGAAGTGTTGGCTTTCTTAGATGTCTTGGACTCATCCTAAATAGCTTAGAAAATCTCATTACTCTTATATTTCTTGAAAATACAGGGATTAAAAATTGGTAATGTGCCTTTCGAGTGACATCTCCCCCCCCCTCTTTCATCCCCCTCTTTTGAGTTGCAATCCCCAAAGCAAAAGCAAAAAAACCCCCCAAAAAAACCCCAAACTAGATGAAAAAGTTTTACATTAATTTGTCAAGCCCTTCAGGGCAGAGCAATCAATACCTGGACTTTTTGCATAATCTTTGGTGTGATTCTTTTTTCTTCATGGGACATGTAGTTACTTATCATCACTTTCAGCACTTCTGTATTTAAACAGCTTGGTATAACCAGGACCAGAAACCTTCATAAATTTGCATCTTATGTTCCCCATATGAGAAGCAAATATCAGGTATACTAGTATGGCATGCACATATAGCATACAATTAACTAGTGTCCAATAAAATGTGTGAAATAGCATGGATTTATCTGGAAACTAACCCAGAGCTTTAAAAATTATTGTGCGACCTACAGTTCCTTGGAAGGTCCAAATGAGCATGGGATCTGAGGAGTTGTGCTCTAAATCATTATTACCCTTCCAAGCTGTGAACTAACCTTGTATTTGATTGGATTGCATTGGAGTTCTTAATCATCATTTCTTCACATGGTATTTCAGCAACTGTTTCCTAAAGACCCTTTGCTGTTTTAAATACATTATTATTTATTCCAATAAAAAGGGAATATTCTTTGGGATGTTGGAACCAAGACTCCAAGACGTACATGCCCAAAATCATTCCAAAACACATAGGAGATATATTTTCCCAACTCCATCGGTTTGAAAATGATTTCAAAATACAGTCTTGGTATTACTCCCAAATGCCACCAAAGGACAGCTTGTGTATTCACTTATTTACTTACTTGTTTGTTTAATAGCCTGCTTTTTCCTTATATTATTATGCTCTGTTGTGGAAGAGCCTTAATCCAGCTCCAGCTTTTACCTTTCCTGGTGGTGAACCCCTTTGAAAAATTGATGAACGCTATTGAACCCTCTCCCAAGAAAAGGTGCACATGAACTCATACACACAAATGTTGTGCTGCACCTAAATAGTTATACAGTGTTGCCTATTCAGTTGACTTTAGTAGTGTTAGGATTTTTTTTTCCTTTTTTAATTTTTTTTTTAAATTTCCAACATTTTGGTAAATATCTACAGTGAAACAGGCAAATATGATATTTCCTACCTCCACAAGCTGTTGTGGGGGCAAAATAATTTACACATCCTTACATGCATCACTATATTCAACAACTCAGCATATGTCATTTTGCACAGAAACAAAAATTTCTGTTGCTCTTTTTTTCTTACTCTATTAGTTACTTTAACCATTTTTAAGTTTTCTCAACTATCTGTACCATAAATCCTCTCCTGCTGGTAATCAATATATTTAGCATCATTTAGAATTTCCTCCTTCCCGTCACTAATTCTATAACCATTTCACATGTATTTTCTTAACATATGTATCAAGACAGTAAGGTATCACCATTAAGTGATAAACAAGGAATACATAGTTCAATATTCTTCACTATTGACTGCTATATTGCAGAACTGATTTTATTTTTGCTAAATCAAATAAGCAAGTTTATTTATTTACAGTATTTATATTCTGCCCTTCTCACCCCACAGGGGACTCAGGGTGGAATACAGTGCGCATATACATGGCAAACATTCTATGCCATTGTAGACATACAACATATATAGACAGACACAGAGGCAATTTAACATTCCAGTTTTTCTGGCTTCATGAGGGTAGGCTCGATTCCGGTCACAGGAGGAGCTGCCACTTCACCATCCATTTATGACGCCTAGTCTTTTGATGGAATACTTCCTCATTCTTTCGCATGCTGCTAGAAGGTTTTTTTTTTAATGGTGTCATAAATTAATTAAATTAGCCTCCCCACATAAGCGGTACCTAAATTTCCTACTTGACAGATGCAACTGTCTGTCGGGCTGCATAGGTCAACAGCAAGCTGGACTGTTAATGGTGGGGAGCTTACTCTGACCCAAGCTGGCTTCGAACTCATGTCCTCTCGATCAGTAGTTATTTAATGCAGCTGGCTACTAACTAGCTGCGCCACCGCCCGGTCTGTTGCTGTTATTAACCTTATTCATATCCTATTATTCCTCTCACCACGAAAACACAAAGCACCAAGCTGAAAGTCCACATTGAAATACTGAGAATGTTCTGTTTCATACAATTTCAAGCAGTTTAGGAATATTGAAAAGACAGTAACAGAAATTACAATACCAGCAAAAAAAATGTGCTCACATTTTTAGACCTGGTATTGCAATTCCTGTGAGTGAGTCTTCTAGTTTACAAAGCATACCTGCATTTATTGTTTATTTTATTGCTGTTTTCCTTCAGAACGAAGTGATTAGCCAGCAATTGGCTGCCATTTTCACACATTGCTATGGACCCTATCCTATTCCCAAGCTTGTTGAAATCAAACGCAAGCAGACATCTCGCTTAGGTAAGTGCACCGTGTCTTGAAACTTATACACATATGGTTCATTGTAATTTGCTCAGTGGAAGATAAATAATATCAATACAGAACAATAGATATATGACTGTCATATAGTAGACTGTTGACTAAGGCTAGAAGGTCCTTCCAAGTAGAATTTAAATACAAGCTATTTTGTAATGATTGATCATTTTCGGGGCCCTGGCTGAGAATTATTCCATATCTGGGCATTCTTAGCCCACACCAGCCCAGCTACCATCTTTTGATTACACAACCAACACGCACTGTTGTGTTAACGCTAGTTGGCTGTTGTAAAATAATTATGGATATTTGTTCAGATCTTATGTCATTATATAATTTTGCTGTCCACATGTAGTTTAATTTATTGATGTTAGGTTTAATTTACTGATGTTAGGTTTCAATATGATATTAGGTGTTAATGTTACTTTCATATGTGGGGGTTTTCAACCAGGATTTTAGGTCAGTATCTGTGTGTTTATATGGAGGCATTGAATGTTTGCCATTGTATGTTGGAATCCACCCTGAGTCCCCTTGGGAAGATAGGATGGAATATAAATAAGTTGTTGTTGTTGTTGTTGTTGTTGTTGTGAACATAAGAATGTGCTAATGCTAACAGCCATTTTGTTCTGGGTACACAGTAGGCTTTGTGATTTAATGTACATACATCCTCCTTCCACAACGAAGCTTAAAAGAATCCTCATATTTTTGTTTTCAGAATAAGATGAATTTGCATCGTTTCAATGGGCATTACTCTAATGTATCTACTTTCCTCCTTTGGGTAGTTTTTAAAGGGTTAAAAACAGCTTTGGCAGATCATGAAATCAAAACAGAGCAGGCAGCCTCCCTGAAGCAGCAGGGAATGTTTGCCTATCCGTGCAAGAACCCACTCAGAAATCAATCTGGAAACTGCATATGTATTCTGTTAGAAGCAGAGACGAAGATTACTTCAGGGGGGCTATATCTACTCCTGTTTCCAGACTCATCTGTATTCACAATTAATTACCACATCATTTCTGTCATATGCCCTGCACATTTTAAATCATGGCACCATACATGAAATGAATGAATGAGTGGTGATACCATACGGAAAGGCAACTCATTTATTTTACAGCTTGAGAGCTTGCTTTCCTTGGAAGTCTACCAAAGCTTGAGGCTGAACATAGCATGGAATATCTATATTTTATCATCCATATATCCAAGTTTAGCTATCATTTTTTAAAATCCAATACTGTTAAGTATGCAGTGCAGATTAGTGAATTGTTAACACTTGCAACATGTTTTACTTCTAGGAAGAAAGGAAGAAATGTCAAAATTCATGGTCGTCCAATAAAGGATTGACAGTTATTGATAAAGAAAAGGAAGTGTTATTTCATACAATGCCTAGTTCCCCTTCCCTGATTTAAAGATATTTAAAAGAACCCAGTAGCACCTTTGAGACTAACTGGAAAGAAGGAATTTCTAACACAAGCTTTTGTGACTTCGTTCTATTTCATTGGATAGAACTGAGTCCTCAAATGCTTATCCTAGAAATGCCTTCCTCCTAAGCGGTCTCAAAGGTTTCATTGAATTTCTTTGTGTGCTCTTATGACACAATCTCTCTGAATATTATTTGAAAGAAATAGGAAATTCATGGTTCACTATCATCTCATCTAGTTTGGCCCTTATAGAGCATTTATTTTGTTCTAGAGGGAATATAGTAGTGGATGAGCTTCTTCTCCTTGTTTTTACAAGAGCATTGCCTATTAAACTGAGCTTTAGATCTATCTCATTCACTTTTATATTACTCGTGACCTCATTTTCAGCTAGTAATTGGAGTTGTCTTTGGGATCTTTTTCTTAATGACATTATGCCACCATTTTCTTAGTTGGCCATGTATAAATATGTGAGGGGAAGTCATAGGGAGGAGGGAGCAGGCTTGTTTTCTGCTGCCCTGGAGACTAGGACACGGAACAATGGTTTCAAACTACAGGAAAGGAGAGTCCACCTGAACATTAGGAAGAACTTCCTAACTGTGAGAGCTGTTCAGCAGTGGAACTCTGCCTTGGAGTGTAGTGGAGACTCCTTCTTTGGAGGCTTTTAAGCAGAGGCTGGATGGCCATCTGTCGGGGTGCTTTGAATGCAATTTTCCTGCTTCTTGGCAGGGGGTTGGAGTGAGGTCTCTTCCAACTCTATGATTCTGTGACTCTAAATTCATTTAATCTGCCATGAAAATGGAATCTGATGTGTAGAATAAATTTAAGTAAAGATCAGCATAGTTATACACAAGAAGGAAGAGAAATGGTTTTCAACATTAATTTCTTTATCCAAACATACTGTATACAATGGGTGCCTATTACTTTTACACAGGTTTACAGAATAATTTGTGATTTTGAGTGTATTTTATACATTCACTCTCAGTCATTCCTTCAGAACAACTTTGGAACTTAATATATCTTAATCTACCTTTTTAATCAACAGGAATCAGATGCGCCAATGATTTGTTTCCAACTAAAATGTCTTATCTCTCATTTTCTTTTTTGTCATTACAGATCCCCATTTCCTTAACAATAAAGAAATGTCAGATGTTACATTCCTTGTGGAAGGAAGACCATTTTATGCACACAGAGTATTACTATATACAGCATCCCTAAGGTAAATATTTATTTAACAAGCTTAAAAATGGAGAAAAAATAGTTTTGAATATTTTGGGAGAAATGTAAGATGAGAAATGTTTTATAGGTTAAACAACAATTTGCAAAAGAAGTTACCTTTCAGAAATATGTAACACTTCCTCATTTAGAAAAAATCTCACTAGAGAGCAATATAATATTTAGGCTTCAGTTTAAAGAGGGGAAGGATGCAGATGTGATATGGCAGTGTTTCTCAACCTGGGGGTCGGTTGTGAGTGTTTGTGAGTGGGTGTCAGAGGGGTCTCTAAAAACCATCAGAAAACACAGTATTTTCTGTTAGTCAAGGGGGGTTCTGTGTGGGAAATTTAGCCCAATTCTATTGTTGGTGTGGTTCAGAATGCTCTTCGATTGTAGGTGAACTGTAAATCCCAGTAACTACAACTCCCAAATGTCAAGGTCTATTTTCCCCAAACTCCACCAGTGTTAACATTTGGGCATATTGAATCCCATTTTTTTTTGTCCCATCTGAACTTCCCATCAGATACATTACCCTATTCATCCATCTCACCCAGGGTTTTAAAATCCTATCCGCTTATTTGGCCCTGCCCACTTGGCTCAATGTCTTGTTATTTATGATATCCTCTGTGTTTATTTTGTATTATCATTTTAATTTATTTTATCATATTTTTATTTGATGTATTATGTTATGGTTTTTCATTGTATTCTTTTGCTCTGCTGTAATTTGTTGGGCTTGGCCTCATGTTAGCCGCCCTGAGTCCTGCTTGGGGAAATGGAAGTGGGGTATAAATAAATAAAGTATTATTATTATTATTATTATTATTATTATTATTATTATTATATTGAGTATTCATGCCAAGTTTGGTCCAGATCCATCATGCTCTCTGGATGTAGGTGAACTACAAAACTCAAGGTCAATGCCCACCAAAGCCTTCCAGTATTTTCTGTTGGTCATGGGAGTTTTGTGTGCCAAGTTTGGTTCAATTCCATTTTTTGGTGGAGTTCAGAATGCTCTTTGATTGTAGGTTAACTATAAATCCCAGCAACTACAACTTCCAAATGACTAAATCAATCCCCCTCAACCCCAGCAGTATTCAAATTTGGGCGTATTGGCTATTTGTGCCAAATTTGGTCAAGTGAATGAAAATACATCCAGCATATCAGATATTTACATTACGATTCATAACAGTAGCAAAATTACAGTTATAAAGTAGCAGTGAAAATAATTTTATGGTTGGGGGTCATCACATCATGAGGAACTGTATTAAAGGTTCACTGCATTAGGAAGGTTGAGAACCACTGGGTTATGGGGAGATTGGGTCTTTATTAGGACCATTACTGAGCAGTTATGTTCTTTTCTTGTTATTTCTGTCAAGCAAAATAAGTGTTCCTTTTTTCTAAGGGCCACCGCCTTCCTCCTCTTTTATTTTTTCTTTGCTGTAGCTGCTCACTCTTGGCATGGTCTTTCTAGTCTTACTCTGTTTGGTTTAATGATGAGCCAACTACTTTGATTTGGCCTAGCAGAGGAAGCTTCAGGGTTGGAGAGTCAGGAGAATTGCCACCTGTCAGTTTCAAGGTGCTGGAGGCTGGAAGGAGTAGAGAAATTAGCTGTATTGAGAGAGACATCCTAACTAGGAAAAGCTATGTGATTGGCTGGCTGTAATGGTAGATTGCACAGACGTGGGAGCTGGCAGGGAAATTGAAAAGAGAGCAAGAGAATACCAGAAATGTCTTAATGAGCTTCAGAATTTATCACCACTTGGAGGAAAAAACACAGGGCGTCCATTAAGTCTCTTTAACATTTAAATGTAAAGACTGTCTGTATATATTTCAGATTTCAATATTAATGTCAAAAATACATAGTATGATTTTACACAGAATTTGTGCTGCATTAGAAGAGTAAAGACAACTGTCACTTAAGTAAAATAAACATTAAATATTAAATAACCCCCCAAAATAAAATAAGATGTAAATACTACATTAATATGGGAATCCGCTATTACAACACATCCAATGAAGTAGTTTAAAACCAGTATATAAAAAAAGATTAGGACTTAGTACGTTCTAGTATACCTGAAATACACCAAGCTCATTCAATGTTTAAATGATTAAGAGACATCATGGACACCCTGTACATTATTATCCAGATATGGTTGTATATCAAATTTTTGTCACTACTCAAGTTGACAACACAGGCACTGGTACATTTGCTATGCTCGAGTACTCCAATCCTAAACATCTGTGCCAGGGTATATACATCTGCAATAGTTAAATGGCATCCATGTAAACTGGATGTGATGCCATAATGGTGCACAAATCAGTAATTCCCATTCTAGTATTTCATATTTTTTTTTATTTCCACAAATAGAAAACATCAGTCTTGTTTTTTGCCTAGGTTTAAAGCTCTTTTGTCCAGCAAACCTGCATCTGACAGCTCTTTTATTGAGATCAGCTATGTGAAGTATCCCATTTTTCAGGTAATGTTTGGTCCTGAGTTCTCTGTATATAAAACAGGCATGGGCAAACTTCGGCCCTCCGGGTGTTTTGGACTTCAACTCCCACAATTCCTAACATTCTACCAGCTGTTAGGAATTGTGGGAGTTGAATTCCAAAACACCTGGAGCGGTGCAGTTTGCCCATGCCTGATATAAAGATACTAATGCCAATTGCTTGAATGGAAAATAGAATGGATCATTACGTAAAGCTTTTGCTGTTTTTCGGCAGCAACATTTGAATACGGTGCCAAGCAGAGCCATATCACACATGAATGACAGTTATTTATGATCTGGCAGTATAACTGGCATTCAAAATAATAATATAGGATTTCTATCAAGATAAAGAAGTTGGAGTTCAGTCTGTGGATAGCATAGATATCCTTTTTAGAAACCCTGGATACCGGATGAAATCCGCTTGGTGGTTCAATAGGGATTGCTTATTAAAGGTGGCAGGGAGTTCCCACTGCCCAGCTAAGTCAAACATGGGCACTGCTAGGCAGCCACCCTAAAGGAGGCCTCCCGGCACCCTGTGTTGCAGCTGTTCCCAGCTGTGACATCCCACCTACTGTAGTCTTGGGGCACACTGGCTGACATCGCAAAGGCTGCTAGAACGGGAAAATTCCCTCCTTTACCCTCACCCAGCCTTCTTAGCGAGGCCACATTCTGGCACTGATGACAATGTAGGTGGATGTGTTGCAGCTGTGACACAGGGGGAGGGGGACTGCCATTCTGCATCCCCAGGCCACCTGAGCCCAGGGAGCATGGGATGGCAGCCCAAACAGCTGCCAGTGTTTCCATTTAAGAGCTGGTCCAGCTGTATTGACTGTTCCTAACTTGGCTCAAGATTCAGACTGTCCCCTTACTTAGCTTAAGCTGAGAGAAAGCATGTTAAGACAGCTTCCTCCCAGGTTATGTCGGACCAGCCCTGTGCAAAGTTTAGTCAACTTAGGACTGATCCTATGTCACACTAACCTTGGTGGTCAGTGTAGATGTGCCCATGCTCTGAAGCAAAAACTGGCTGAATAATAAAAAATACAGATGGTTGGTTAGGGGAAGAGAAATACAAATTACAGCTGCACCTTTATAATCTATTGATCTCTTTGGTTTTATTTCAGCTTATTATGCAGTATCTCTACTATGGAGGTGCGGAGTCACTTCTCATTAAAAACAATGAAATCATGGAGGTAAGATACATTTTGCACCACAAATTGGAATGATTCACTACCCTCTAAAAACAGTCAAATAAAACAATAGTTCTCCTTGGCTATTTTTTTTTTTTGTAATGTAATTATTGGGGGTTTCAGATATGTGAATTCATTATAGTTGGGTATCTCAAAGCAAAGCTGAAAGTTTATTCTTCAGATCATATGTTTCAAAGCAGAAATCCCAACCACAAACAATGTTGTTGTTTATCAAGTTGTAAATGTTTGTGATGTTATGTTTATTTAAGTTGTTATTTTTATAATTTTATTGAGATTGTTTTACCCAATATTTTGATTTGTTATCTGTTGTTCTTGGCATTGAATGTTTACCAATGTGTTATTTTGCTGGAAACAGCTTAAATCCCCTCAAGGAGATAGGGCGGGTTATAAATAAACTATTATTATTTTACTAACACAAAAACACAGTATGTCGCAGCAAACTAGATATATATGCTGGATTTGGAAACAATAAACATTGACAAAATCACAATCTGTCAATTGCAAAAGACCACCTTACTTGGATCTGTGCGCATTATTTGAAAATACATCACACAAATGCTTGGGAAGTGTTTGACTTGTGATTTTGATATAAAACCCAACTTCTTCTTCTTCTTATTATTATTATTATTACAAAGCTCCATTTGATTGGGAGCAGATTAATTATTATTGTTGTTGTTGTTGTTCATTTGTTCAGTTGTCTCCGACTCTTCGTGACCTCATGGACCAGCCCACGCCAGAGCTCCCTGTCGGCCGTCACCACGGTCAGTCCAGTCACTTCAAGGATGCCATCCATCCATCTTGTCCTTGGTCGGCCCCTCTTCCTTTTGCCTTCCACTTTCCCCAGCATAATTGTCTTCTCTAGGCTTTGCTGTCTCCTCATGATGTGGCCAAAGTACTTCAACTTGTCTCTAGTATCCTTCCCTCCAATGAGCAGTATTATTAATTATTATTATTATTACAAAGCTCCATTTGATTGGGAGCAGAATTGAACTCATCATTGTCATGCGTTAGCATGAGTAGCATGCAGATTGACTCTAGCCCAGTTAACTGTGTGTGTGATGAATTGGCTCATAAAAGAAAAACACACGAGACTTCGGCTTAAAGCAGAAAAGAAAATATTGTAGTATTGGCAGCATACAAAAACAAAATAGCAAGATTGCTGTTCCCACAAAAGTAACATGAAACAATATCTTCTGAGAGATATCACTACTCAGCTGAGATAAGCAGGAATCCTTGTCTCATGGCTGTGTCTTCGCAGGACATCTGCAGCATAGTCCCCGGCTTACACAAGGCAGAACGGCACAGAGGCATAGATGCACAATAGCATAAACGCACAATGGCAAAGAACTAAACACACAGTAGCTATCTTTATACACATGAAAATAACACTCTCAATTAACTCTTCAATTAACTGAAACAGCTGTAGCACAAACAGCCTTGAACCTTACAGCAACTTAAAGTTATAGCACAAACAACATTGATCCTTACAACAACTTAGATAAAATACGTTGCAACCTCTTAGTAGCAACAATCATTACTATTAAAAGTGCCAGAAACGTAAATCTTTAAAGTTTATTGGCCTAATCCCTGCATCTACCTTAGTATGTTAGATTTTTTTTAATTGAGACACTGACAAGGTAATTATTTTGTGAATGACCAAAAAAGTTTAAAAAGTTTTTTGAAAGCTAGTGGGACTTTCAGGCTGGATGTTACAGATAAACAAAAATAGGTGTGTTTTTTCATTAATGTCATGCATACTGCACAATAAACAATTTCCATGGCTCATGAGATCCTATCAAGTGATGAGGGATTGTGGTGTTGGCGTGAGGTGGCCGCATTAGAAGTTAATGATGCTATCCCTTGGAATGAATAGAAATAATAATTCAGAAGGTGGTAATATATCTGTCATTGCCCACATATGTTCTCAGAGAAATTGCATAGGTTTTGCAGTTTTTTTTAAAGCTCTGTAAAGATTTGGAGACATCTTAATATGAATTATTGTAACAGGAGAGAAAAAATGAATGCATGACTAGGAAATAACAACAGATGGGTAATTTTGCCTTTCCTTGTTCTATATACTTTATTCTTTGTATCAGAGTAAGCAAGTAAGTAAAAAAAATAATAGTGACATTTACCATAGTTCAATAGAGCTTGTTTTGGGATAGCTTGTAATATATAAGAATCAGCATGGAGCCAGCAGAAGAATGAAGAAAACACCTTTTCCCAAAGACCTCCAACTGTTATTCTCCATAGCTTTCAAGCAGCTGTAATTATCTTTTCTCCTGCTTTTCAGCTTCTATCTGCTGCTAAATTTTTCCAGCTTGAAGCATTGCAACGACACTGTGAAATCATCTGCGCAAAAAGTATCAACACAGACAATTGTGTGGATATTTATAATCATGCCAAGGTAATACAGCATTGTTCATATTTATCCATTTGTGTATGTACTAAAGCCAGCAGCTGCATGAGGCATCCTTGGACAGTTGCTTAGACCTTCTGGTTCCCTGTTTCTGCCCCAGGACACATTTTCCTGTGCTTCAAAAAACACTTATTGGCTACTATTATAGTTAACTGACAGTGACTCATAGCAACAAAGCATCACTATAGAGCATTATAGGCCATTTCAGTGGAGGCCTCCCAGCTTTTAGTGGGGGAGCACAAATCTTGCAAAAAGAAGGATGGCCAATTTAGGGATGGCCACAAGACAGCTCATACAAAGCCCTGCCAAAAATTGTAGTTTCAAATTTGCTCCAGAATTGAACTCATCATCCCCTGTGAACAAAGATGATGGCCAAATGACAATTTCCATAATAGTCACATTGATAGAAGAGACAGGATAAAGGATAATTTAGTTAACTTCTTTGGTGCTCAAGCCTCTCAACATTTTAGAATTTTTTGCTTCCTTCTAGACTTCAAAATCAAATCATTTCATTCCCTCAGAAAAATGAATAAGCCAATAAACAAGTTAGCAAGCAAACACATACCTGAAAAGATGAAACCTAAATCCAACCATTAATCCCAGTTAGAGTCAAGCCACTGAACCAGTTGCTGTCAATCAGTATTCATGTGAATCATATAAACCCAGTGAATCTAGATCAGACATGGGCAAACTTCAGCCCTCCAGGTGTTTTGGACTTCAATTCCCACAATTTCTAACAGCTGATATGCTGGCTGGGATTTCTGGGAGGTGAAGTCCAAAACACCTGGAGGGCCGAAGTTAGCCCATGCCTGATCTAGCTCTAGTTGAGTGTAACATCTGGATTTAAACCTGAGAGTATGAGACATAAGCTTATATGACTTCTATGAATTTGCATTAGGAATCTTTTAGTTTCCGTCCCAGGCCCTGCCCCAGTCTTTACTATTCACAAGAGATGGTCTATGTCATTGACATCCACTTAGGTGTTAGTATTTTGTATAAATAAATATGTAAAAGATAATTTTTAAACTTCTGGTAGGTGGATTTTAGTACCATTGCTCTAAAAGTTGCTTATATTATTGGTTTGTCAAAGCATAATACTTTCAATTTTTGATACATTTAAGGAAGGACTTCAGTAGTTCCTTTTGTTTCATTTTTTATATTGCGGCTTTAAGAGATCAGCTTACATTGCACTGTAGTCGTCTGATATAAAGGTACTACTTGAATATAGCCTTCCATTGGCCACATATGCCAAAGAGGGATAGACGCTTCTCCTGGACATCCAGGTTCATATTAAGGGAAATTTGTCTTGTCTACTGAGTGAAATGCATGCTTTTCTAATTAAATCCATATTTACCTTACCAATAACAGAATGTAGCATTGTACAAGCAAGGTATAGAGGTGAGGAAAGCTACCTATAATAACTGACCTGTTTCACCAAATGAGCAACTACTGCATATACTCGAGTATAAGCCAACCCGAATATAAGCCGAGGCACCTAATTTTACCACAAAAAACTGGGAAAGCCAAGGGTGGGAAATGCAACCAAGGGTGGGAAATTTCAAAATAAAACTAGATACCAATAAAACCACATTAATTAAGGCATCAGTAGGTTCAATGTTTTTGAATATTTACATAAAACTGTAATTTAAGATAAGACTGTCCAACTCTGATTAAATCATTATTCTAACTTTCTCCAATGTAAATGTGCTTACGTAGCTTTCCAATAATCACCATAGTTTATTTAAACTATGCATTTTGGGGAAATGCTGTGTGTATATGAATAAGGAAAAGTGGGAAAGACTGGCGCCAAGAGAGGAAGGAGAGAAAGGTTGCTGTGCGGATAGGTGAGGGTTCTGGCAGAAAAGCCTTCCCACTAGGACCCTTACCAAAGTATAAGCCGAGGGGGCCTTTTCAGTCCAAAACAGAGCTGAAAAACTAGGCTTATACTCGAGTATATATACAGTACTTCTAAAAACCTCTAAATGCATTGTGCAGTTTCACTCCTTTAATACTTGAATATACTTGTGTATTCACTTGTCTAAAACAAGTTGTTATTTTTCTTTTCTTACCCCCATTTCCCTTCTTTAGTTTCTTGGAGTCACAGAATTGGCTTCCTATTGTGAGGGTTATTTTCTTAAAAATATGATGGTTCTAATTGAAAACGAAGCTTTTAAGCAGCTGCTATATGACAAGAATGGAGACTCACCTGGCCAAAACGTACTACAAGATTTACAGAGGACGTTGGCAGCACGGATCCAGTCAATCCATTTGTCGTCTTCAAAAGGCTCCATTGTATAAAATTTCAGGAAGGATGTGAAGTTTTCAGAAAGGCAGGAAAGGCACTGCAAGTGAAAGGTGGCTGTTGCAGCTTCTCGGCGTTCTTTTTCCTTCTGGAGTCTTATATTGTGGGCCAAAGGTGCTGTCACTTACTTGAATCTTCTTCTCTTGGGCAAGAGGTTGTGGTACATGTGACTCCTATGCATTTTCGGAACCGCAAGGATGTATTGCTCTCCTGGGAATTTACTGTTCAGATTCTGAACACAGAAGTGCTGTCGTGCAGCTAATGCCAACAAGAGGGTGAGCCACATTCTGGTGAATAGAAGAAGCCCCGCATGGAACAAGGATGCCATGGAACAATGATTTTATAAAGCCAACACATCAGGTTGTTTTTTTGTTACACTGTGTCATACATTTTTTTTGTGAGAGCAGTACTGTTCTCTGTCTCCCACAGTTCATTGTAGTATGCATCTAAGAAACACACAACCTGATAGCTGCTCTTTAGCAAGAGTCAAAGAACTGGTTAGAAATGAGAAAATACATGTATAAGCAAATGTCTAGTGGTGGAAACTTTTTCAAATTCTTCATTTAAAATGGAGCAGCTTTGCAGTTTTAATTTCCCCCTCCCTTATGTTCCAGATTCCAAAGCTATTATCAAAAGAGATATATTTGAGAATGTATATAACATGTTAAATTTGGGTTTGTAGCTTTGCTTCATTTTTTTTCCAATGGTAAAATGTATATTGTGGAAATGAGCACCGGAAAATGGTTTTCAGTTCATATTCTGCTTTACTTAACAGTGGTATAATCCTGCCTGAATGGCTATGGTTACACCAAAGAGGTGCACTTACCAAGGACTCCGTTGTTTGGTTTGGGGGAAATTCTGCATGCTAACTGTGGTTTGGGGTTTTAAAACAGCAATGAAATTCAACATGCATTTGCATGGTAATGGTACCTGTAAACTGTTAACGTTTGTGCTTAATTTTTCAGAAAAAAAAGGCAATGCAATGTTAGGTTTGTTGTTTTTTTTTGTCAAACGCCATTTTTTGTGAAGTTCTATTTCAGGATTTTATTTTCTGGTTGCACACAATTTCCATGTAGAACAGTTTTAAAGATGATAGTTTCTAGTTATTCTATGTGAGGGGTCAATCCAGGGTCTTTATTCAAGAGAAATGATAGTATTTTGCTACTGGGCAGAAATTATGATGAAGATGATTTATTTTAATTATATATTAAATATGTACTATAGAGTGATTTCTTGAAGTCAGCTGAGAATGTGTAGGTTATATGCTTATGGAGGCCTTTAACAGGCCTTGAGTTATTTAGTGACATATTTTAAGCAAACTGTTTTAAGTGCCACGCTAATTCTTGACCATTTGCAGTTCGATCAAATAGTTTTGCAAGAACCACAGTAAAGAGTTATTTCACCACAGTCTTTACCATATGACCTTTTTCTTGGCAGAAGAGTGTGAATTTACCTGCCTTTGGGGAAATCGTGACTGGTTGATAAACTCTGGAAATTTTCATAGTACCAGTGTAAGGTAAATCCTAGGTCTCTTTTTTTATAAAGGTGCTAATTCACATTTACAGATTTTTGGCATTGTCCAGGAATACAATTTTTGTATCAGACAACAGGAGAAAAAGGAGCTATTCTGTGTCTCTGAACTTCAAAATCCTTCTGAACCATTTGTGGAACAGTGCAAAATTGCCTAACATACTATTAATATTAGAGAGGCACAGTCTGGCGATGGAGGCAGAATGGAGTAACACATCTCCCTTCCTAGATCTTTTATAATAAGTTTGGATAATGTTGTTTCCTGAGGCAGAGAACAATATGGCGCCCCGCTCCATTCCATTCATAGATGCCCATTGGACCAGTAGTTGCCTCTTACTTCAACACACTGGCTGTGGAGTTAGCATCCTTCATCATAGCTAAAGGTTTGCTGGAAGTAGAATAAGGAAGAGCTGATCAAGATTCCTTCGTCGTGCTTCCATTATATTTGCTATGCTTCCTCAATCTATTAGTACACAAAAGATGAGTTTTTATAATAACTCATCAGTAGCACTCAAAAGCCTTGAGTGCATTAATTGCTAAGCTGCCAAAGAGTGAGTGGTGGCCACCAATGCAGCCAAAAGTCTTTGTAGGCGCTTACACCAACAACATCAAGGATCGTTGGAATGTATCACGTACGTGAATGTTGTTAACAAGGGAAATAAACCAAATGGTTTTTAAACCAAATGAACTTTCCTTTCAACTTGGCTTTTTTGGCAAATTTGAAAGCTTCAAAGCAGTCTTAAGCATTATTTAAGGGAACCCCACACAAAGAGACACACGGCTTTTAATGTCTGTATAACTAGTCTGTGGGAACCAAAATGTGTGGATTGTGTTTATCTAATGGTAGCTCTGTGCATGATTTGCAAACATTTGGCAAAGGTTTGTGATTCCCAGTCATTAACCATAGCACCACCAAAACGTCCATTCTCATTGCCATTCTATAATGCTTAAATGAAAAAATGGGGTAACTAAGCATTGTTTTGTGTAGGATGGACCATAAATTACATTTATTTTGCCTGCTCAACATGTTTTCTAATAGCTGGAAGTGAACTTTTAGTCATGTCTGGTTTAAATGTACACATCCTTTCATTCTGAGTAGGAGCACAGTGGGTTCCCAGGGTGGATCAATTGGGACCCACCAAAGTTGCATGTGATAAATTAAACTGAAAACAATTGCAGTACTTCCTCAGTCTGAATGTAGGTCCTATGTACCAGGCTTAGATCGTTGGATCTATCTAGGGTGTCTATGATAATAAAAGAATGGAGATGCCAAAAATAGTCCATTCTGTGCTGTTATCCTTAATAAGATGTATTTAGAAATCCTTGACCATTTATTTAGAGACAACTTAACAAAGTTGCAGATATTAAAAAAATAGAAGGACACTCAGGAAAGAAATGTACCTGTCCCCTTCAGCCTGTTGCAGGTTTTCAGGGGGACTTAAAGCTGAAGCACAGCCATGTTTGTCAGGGGGTTGATGGGAGGTGCCTTCCCTATATTGGTGGCCTTGTTTACCTGTAAAAACTAGAGGAAAATCGTGAAACTTGGTGTGGGGGGTATTTCTTTCCTAGAGGGAAAATTGTGGAGCGTAGTGTAGCATTTCTCTCCCAGACTGCTAGGACTCAGTGCCATGTTTTTGCCCATTGATTATAATTGTTACTTTATTTCCTAAGAACTCCAAGGACTGGCAGCTGATGGCCTATGGTTGATCAGCCCTGGACTGTGGACCACTACTTTGAGTAGCGCAGGTATAGAGAGGATAATCATCCTTGAAATTGCAGTTGTAGTCAAAGTGGCTAATCTCAGAGCTTCCAGGTAGTTATGAGATACTTTTTTAATAATGATGTCATATTTCAAAATTGGCAGGTTAGAACCATTTTATATAAAAATAGTTTAACAAGTAACATATTCTAGTTACACTTCAAAGTTAAATTTTAGAGGCATCCTGACTAGGAATCGGGAGGGGGGGATTGTGGGTTTTATGTCATTCTTTAGGGAGCCCCCAGTGGTGCAGTGGGTTAAACCACTGAGCTGCTGAACTTGCTGACAGAAAGATTCGCAGATTGACTCTGGAGAGCGGGGTGATCTCCCGCTGTTAGCCCCAGCTTCTGCCAACCTAGCAGTTTGAAAACATGCAAATGTGAGTAGATCAATAGGTGCCACTTTGGCGGGAAGGTAACGGCGCTCCATGCAGTTACACTGGCCACATGCCCTTGGAGGCATCTATGGACAATGCCGGCTCTTCAGCTTAGAAATTGAGATAACCACCACTCTCCAGAGTCAGACACAACTAGACTTAATATCAAGGGGAAACCTTTACCTTTATTTTATGTCATTCTTTTATCAACTCTCAGATTCCCAAATCCCTCTAAAGTAATAAGAAGTGGCAAAATGAATAATGAAACAACTTCATTATTTTAAGTTGTTCTAAAAGTAACAAAAAGTAACAAAAGTAACAAAAGTTAGCACTAACAAGTAATGAGATGAAATTATTTTTGACAGTAGCTTTGCAAGCTCTGGCTGAACTTTCTTTCCCTATGTATTATGCTATTCTATGTACTATCCCAATGTCGCACTTACCTGTACTTGAAGAAAAAATCACCTGGTTTCCCAACTGTTCATTCTACAGAATGTCTAGTTTGATTTTTGCATACAGTCAACACCTTATTCCATCAGTTAGCAACAGAAATTCAGAAGAGGGTTTTTTTTGTCCCAGAATGGAAAAGGATGAATAAGAAGAGACATCTTTTAAATGTCTACCTGTTACATAACTGGAAAATGATAAATTTTACAGTGTCATCCGTTTTCTGCTTCTGAATTACTGTCTGTTACATAACTGGAAATGGTAAATTTTACAGTACCATCTGCTTAGTTCCCTAAAAGCACAAACGTATACAGATCTGCTTAAAAGGAAATACTCTGTGATGATAGGGTACAGAACTGTAGGCCAGAGCATATCTAAAAACTCATCCTATTGCCATTTTCACTCTTCTTACTTGTTTTTCTTTTCAAACACTTTTGTCAAGTGTGTTTTAGGCCCGTACATTCAGTCTCCCAAGAGAGCAGTTAATCTTTTATAACTGAAATGTTCAGATTGGAAACTAACCATGACTATAGGATATGAGATATAGTTCGCTAAAAGGATATATTGTCTCGAGTGACTAAAACAGGGACTTTTGTGGGGGGAGAATTGTGCCATTCTGCTCAATATTCCAGAGTTATCTACTTCTCCTTTAAGACAATTGGATTTAAAGTGTTTCCCATGGAGGATACAATCAGTTTCATAAGCAGTATACAATTTCCCAGTAAAAATACCACATTTCATTTCTTCCCAATTCTTAAATAGGTGTCTTAGGCAAAGCCATAATTTAGATGAAATCCATAATATAGACTTAGAAAATTGAGCTGCAGAGGATCACATATATTTGCACTGAGGCTATAGCGTTCAAAAAAGATAAAGGTGAATAAAGGTACATTTCTCAAAGGACATGAAATTTGAGGGAAGAAGGCACAGTCGAATCTGGACATCAACAAGGAATAGTAAATTGGCATTGTTAGGCCAGAAAAAAGAAAGAAGCTCTGGAGCAAGACAGATGTAATATTATAGAGTAATGGAACTGGATTTGGGAGCACACCTGCTACATTCAATAAGAAATATAAATGGTCCTTACCCAGAATCATGATTGGAACAAAAACATTTCAAATCTGCAGCAGAGCCAGCCATGGGGATGCCAGTTGGCTAAAGCTGGTAATTCCACCATCTCTCAAAACAGCCTTGCAGCTTTTTCTAAAACATTTATTTTTTAAAAGATCAAAAGAAAATGGGAATGGATCAGTGGTCAGAGGGATAAATGCTGTTTGGCAAGCAATGCCTGCTGAATTCTTCCTCCTATACAACTGTAAAATATATAGGTGCCCTGTCTCTTATTTCACCTTACAATGCTAATGTGACTCCCAAATCCAGTGGTTCTCAACCTGTAGGTACTCAGCTGTTTTGGCCTACAACTCCCAGAAATCCCAGCCAGTTAGGATTTCTGGGAGTTTAAGGCCAAAACATCTGGGGACCTACAGGATCCCCAAACTAAGGCCCGTGAGCTGAATGTGGCCCTCCAAGGTGACTTTCCTGGCCCTCACCCTAAACCTTAGACTTAGGGTCACCCTAAGTCTGAAACAACTTGAAGGCACAAAACACCAACCTGACTATCTCATCAGCCAAAATCAGACCCACACTTCCCATTGAAAGACTGGTAAGCTTATGTTGGTTAAAATTGTTCTTCATTTGAAATACTGTATTGTTCTTTTATGGTTTTTTTGCCCTCGGCTTAAAAGATTTCAGGACCCCTGCCCTAATGCATAGGAACTGGAGGATGCGGAAAAATGTAGGGGAACTCCTACATGCCACTCTTCTCCAGACCAGCACATTCCCATACAAAACCTCATCCTGCTAAGGTGTGTTACAAAATTAATGGCAAATACAAATTGTTGCTGGTAATATTGGCTAAGGATTCCAGACCTCTACTGTTTGCTGGCAGTATAATGCACACTACAGATATATAGATTATATACATCATACTGTGGCACTGTTCCTCTGCAATCACTCCCATGATGTTTCTTGAAGTGCAGTACCTTCAAAAGCCACCTTTCATATAATCTATTATCAATGATCCAACCACCGTACCAGAGCCTCACACTATGTCCCTCCAGATATTATTATTGTGTTGCAGCTCCTATAATGTCTAATTGTTGGGTATGCCAGGTAGGGCCAATGGGAGTGATAGGACAAAGTCATCCAGAGAACCACAGTTCTTCAACCCTGAATTACCCTAGATCAGTGGTTCTCAACCTGTGGGTCCCCAGATGTTTTGTCCTTCAACTCCCAGAAATCCTAACAGCTGGTAAACTTGCTGGGATTTCTGAGATTTGTAGGCCAAAACACCACAGGTTGAGAACCACTGCTCTAGGCTAGTTCTGACTTCCCATAATTTCCAATTGCAATCCTAAAGAAATTGCATACAAATGCAAGTTAACTGTATAAACATGAACTCTTGTGGAGTTGTGCAGGCAAGAAATGAGAATACATGAGTGGTTGTATATGACTGGGTTTTTAAAAAAGACCAATTTTTCTATAGCATTAAGAATGGAGAGAATGCAACGCAGAGTTCACTGGAAGTGGGAAGAAAAGCCAGATAGCTGAACAATTACTCCCTTGGCAGCCTATAGGTTGATTTGAACATTGAGCAGAGATACATGGAATGGAATGTGGACATATTCAGGCTACCAACCTCCGTTCTGGTTTCGTCTCTCCTCTATTCATGGCAGTTGAATGCTTTGTCATTCTCAGATAGTCTTCAAGAGCAAATAAAAATACAGTTCCCATTAAGCGTCTAAATAGTTCCATTATGTTGGTGGATGTGAATTGTCTCCATGTGACTATCTTCAACCATTCAGTTTCTTCTATTTGATTTGCTGCCATTCTACTGGAATTTCCGTTGCCTTGTGGAATTTTCAGTTATGTTTTTCTTACCATTTTTCTAAAGCAGAGGATTTCTAATCTTACTGAAGAATAGCATGCATATGGATACATTCTGTGCTGGGGAGAAAGAGGAGCATGACTTTGAGAAAAGAAAATAAAGCCAGGAAATAGAAATAATTGGGACACTCCAGAATAGCTGGTAATACGAAGCCTTAGT